ACACTACTTTCTTTGCTCTACATCATGTTATTTGTCATGGTTTTGGATTTCTCCAGAATCGCATACCCCACCTTTAAATGAATTTAATATCAATTTGATTACTTAATAAATGTGATTTGCATACCTTTGTCATACAGTTACATATGAACATCAACAAAATTGTTGGAATAAATATTCTCATCTTATCCAGCCCTAACACAGAGACAGAGACAGAGAGAGACAGAGACACAGAAAGAGAGAGAGACAGAAACAGAGAGAGAGAGAGACAGAAACAGAGAGAGAGAGAGAGGATAACAGACTTTACCTGATCAATTCGGGGTCGGCTCTGTATTGAGGCAGGCTCGTAGCTCTGTTAAAAAAAAAAAAAACCATTCACATTAATAACCAATGCAAAACAAATAAAGAATGAATGAAAACCAGCTTACAAATATGGGACTGCACAATATTATAGTATATTATTAGGAAGCAAGGCGGACATTTTTATTTTTGCTTTTTTTTCTTTCTTACCGTACACTAATATTTTATTTCAACCTTCTCTTCTAACATTCATTACATACTTTTTAAAAAGCATGGCTTTCATGTTTGCTGTGGTTCATAAATGTATGTTTCACCACATGGAGAAGACAGCATCAGGGTATCACAGTCAGACAGGAAGATAAAACAGCACCAAAATACACCTGGATAATGAGCCTCAGAATGATGTAAGTGGTTTAATTATGACAAACAAAGAGACAACTAATTGCATATTAGGCAACATCATCAGATCTAAATGCACATTTATTTTTATTATTTGGAATCTGCCGTTGGGCGAAAATATTTCAGCCCCTCAGAAGTTTATCAGTCATAAAGTCATAAATCACTAATTGTACTTCTAATGTCAAATCAACGATCTCTTAAGGTACTGAATGTTTAAATTGGGGTATGACATCTTTTTTGTTATTATTTCTTTATTGACTTTTTGAACAAGTATACTCAAAGGTGGATGCATAACAGTTCTCTTGAATATACCACGTTAAAAGGGCTGTACTACCATCATGCTGGGGAACATAATCTTGCAGTAGATAAGACACATGCCTTTGGTGTGAGAGATCTGGGTTCAATTCCCCACTGTGACTTATCCACCAATGTGTCCCTGAGCAAGACACTTAACCCCCACTTGCTCCAGAGGCGTGCGACCTCAAACATATATAGCAATTGTAAGTCGCTTTGGATAAAAGCGTCAGCTAAATGAATAAATGTAATGTACAACTTAAGTAGTATTCTCTTATTTTGGAAAACAATCTTCGTCAAGGGGAGGGTCAAAGAACATATAAATTATACTGGGGATGATCTTGTTTTAAAAAAAAAACATGTTTCTCTCTCACCCCAGTAAATTCCTTACAGTCTGTAAACATACTTACTCCTTTGATTTAAATGTATTAAGTCTGAAGGAAATACCTACCTTTTTCACCACCTCCTCCTCCTCCTGCTTCTTCTCATAGTGGGAAAAGTCATCAAAGATGGAGGTGGTGTGTTTGTACTGGGCGATAATCTTGAGCACCTGCTTTGCCTTTTCCAGAGGAACCTCTTGAGTGTCACGTGAGTTGGTGACTGGCTTGTTGTCATTGTTCTCCAGGCGGATGTGGCGCAGCTGGCTATTTGGCACGTCCTTTACAAACAACCAGTTCACATCAAACTTGCCCTTCCACTTGTCCTGCGCCCAAACGCCAGCGCTGGTGCCGTAGTCCACAGGGGAGCGCATTTCGGCCACACCGCAGAAATGGCCGCTGCCGTTGACACTGAACAACAAGTAGACGGGACCTTTAGCGTTCATAGCTCTGAAGGCTGAGTCCAAACGTTTGTTGCCGTGCTCCGTGCTGCACCAGATGGAGTACTTGATGGAGCGGTGGATGTCGTCCTCAGAGTAACTCTTGATGATAAACACGCGACCGTTTTTCAGGTTCCAGTCAAACTCCTTGGGGTTGTAGCTGTGGGCTGCTCGCAGCTTCTCCAGCACAGGGTGGGACTCTGACCCCGGCTCTGGAGGCACAACCCCGCACACTCCACCTCCGTTACCAACACCACCGCCATTAGAGGAGCCGCTGCTGTCCAAACTTCCACCACCGTAGCACAAGTTGCGGTTGCGTGGTGCTACCCAACGGGTCTGAGGCGTTGGAGCAGAGTTGTGGTTCTGATAAGACTGTGGATGAGGAGGTGGAGGACCCTGCATGGTCATCTGCTGCACGAGGGACTGGGCAGACTGTAGGGATTGCTGAAGGGGGGGTAGGAGACTGGGAGCATGGGAGTGAAGCTGGGGCTGGTGCTGCTGGTGGTGATGGTGGTGGTGGTGGGGGGTTAAAGGAGGGACCATCTTGGTAGCAGTCCCTTTATTATCCCACGTATCAATGTCCATGTTGTGTTTAATGGGGGGTGGAGGCATAGGTCCTCCAGCTATAGGTGGGCCAGGTTTGATCTTGGTCTTTTGTTGCTGCAGCTTGGCAGGTTTACTAGCAATAGCGGCCCACGATGCAGGTTTTGGTGGGGGCATACCAATTGTGGAATTGTTGCCCGTAGCAACAGCTGCAGCTACACTGCCTCCGCCACCAATCACAGAGCCTGCGCTCTTCACACCGGAGCCACTTCCTGTCACATCCCCACCTATTTTTAGGCCCAGCATGCCCTGCTCTAGGCTGTTCATACCTGGAGCCTTGCTCAGGGTGTCACTGTGGAAACCCGTCTGTCCATCAGGGATTAAGGTGCCTCCTAGAGAGCTGGGGGGGTAGCTGTAACTCCCCCCATAGGCTGAGCTCTGAGTCTGCTGGCCCTGAGAACCACTGGTGCCCCAGGCTGAGAAAGCCGGGTTCTCTGGGAAAAAGTTAAACCTGTGAGGATAGATACTGCTGCTGAGCCCACCTGGCTGTCCAAACACTGTGTCGTGCATGAAGTGATGGTCTCCATTGCTGAGGGGGGCATAGGGCGTCAGGTAGGGAATTGGGGGGTCCCCTCCTGTTGACCAAGGAGCCTCACTGAGCGGGTAAGGAAATCCAATGGAGGGGGCATAGTAGCTGGACAAGTAAGGGTCTGTCATCGATTGATAGCTGTTATTCTACAAACAAACAGAATTAAGATAATTTGTTAGGGCGATAATTCAAAAAATAATAATTTTAGTGCCACAAGAGACAACTCCATTTGTGTTTCCTACCTGATTTGACTGGTTGGTGAGATAAGGCTCAAAATCATTGTCATGGACTGTATCCTTCTGGTGGAGGGAGCCATTCTGCACTGAAACTGGAAAGGCTGCAATAAAATCAAACTGTTGTCAAAGCTGGAACATCCGAATGTACACATACATCCAAACAACCTGATCTATTGTGAAGCCTAAAACATCTGCATTGTACAAGTTGGAATTACAACATCACAGATTTCCCATATTGTCACCTTACCTAAATTGAAGTCACACAAAAAACAGTGTTCACTAAAAAATGAGACCAAAATGTCTTCTGCAGTAGTGATAATAACTTTTTTCTAACATATAATAGCATGACAGACATGAATGAAGTCAAAAGAATAAAAAAAAAAAAGAAACAACATGAATGATATTTTATGTTGTATAGTGATTTAAAATAGATTATCTTGTCTGCCACAGAGTGCTGCTCTGCTGGATAACCGTAACCTTTAGAGGAGCTAACCTTTTGAAATGTGCAAGGTGTTTTCCACTGATAAACTGAAGTATGCTCATTACTGCAAACAGCGATGACGTAAACAATGGAGTGAAATATGTAAGATGCAAACACTATTGTTGGAGTTTCCCTGTTGACAAAAGAGTCAGTGATGTGAGGTATCAGGTGACAGTTGTGCACAATGAAAAACAGTCTGCTAAACAGGTCTTACATCTTCAGACACAGGAAGTCATTTGGAAGTTCAGGAGACATTTATCTCTTACCTTTGCTTGCATCTTGTCCTTTCGATGTCTTAGTGGTCACATTAAAAAGGAGGAATGCGTGAAAGAAGAAATAAAGAAAAGCTTGCATGGGTCTCCAATGTTATTCAAAGCATCACACGTTATCATAGCTGCACATATTTAGACGTCTCTGAAAACCTGGCTGACACATGCAGTAAACATTAAAAATTAAAAAAGGTGGTCCAGGCCTTTGGTTACCAGCAGAGACCAGATTTCTAGCTCTCCTCCCCTCTCAGTTGGCTAACTAGCTGACTAGCTGCCAATGGTGGCATCGTCTTCAGAGTGGGATGCACACACACCACCGCACCTCTCACCTCTCTCTGAGGGATAAAAACCTGAAGAATAGCGTTTCTCCCGCTGCTTACCTGAGGGTCAATACTAGCGGCAGACATCATTCATCCACCAGGTGTTGTTTTAAGACAGAAGCCCTGATAATATTTTTGGAGGTGCACAAACTCCGCTGTGTGGACAGGCTAATAGCTGGAGAAGCTGTTTCACTACGTGAGTTTGCTAACAGTTAAACACAGCGGCTGTTAGCCGGTTAGCCTCTGTGCTCAGCGCGGACAGTTTGCTCGCTGTAGCCCTGCTGCCACTCCGCGCTGCCCTGTCGACATTAATCCAGCGGGGCTTCAATCCGCTCCGACCCCCTCGCCGTTAAATTAAAATCCAACCAGCCTTGGTGGCCCTGATCACTTGCCCCAATGGCAGCTTCATCCGGGGTCTGCGGGGCGGAAATGACGTCGGTCACGTAAGCGACGCGTCGCCACGGCTACCCAACGGTGCTGTGGCTACCTAGCAGCTGCTAACTGGTTGTGCCCATGTTAACGTTACATTTATGATTAAAAACACGGTTTTCTTATTAATTAAGGGTTTTAAAACGTATATAAGAACAACCCGCAGCCTGTAAAACTGAGTTAGTGCAACATTTTTGCTTCTAAGAACGGCAACTTATCATTAGTAATGTTAAGGAGCCATCCAGAGCTGATAGAAGGCAGATAACGTTACCTGGTCTTGTACCATTTTTAATAATACAGAAATGTGTGCAACACCCTATTACAAGCTATATTGTGTAGACGTGGTTTATTTCACTGAATAATATCATACACTATACACGTTTTCTAACTGCAATGAGTGACACACATTAATAATTTATTTTACAAAACATCAGAAAGAATCTGCTACTTATTTACATCTTTCAAATCACTTTTCTTTTGTATTAGAGAGCTTAATATGTAGGGATTTCTATCTCTTTGGCACACACACGCACACACATACAGAGGTAGATTTACATGGACATTTACTGAATTTGATGCCTGAAGACAAACATGAGTAGGTCTACACTTTTTATACAGTACTGTATTGTGGAAATTCCCCTCTTGACTCAGGAAAGTGTGTGCAGTTTGTGCATAGTGAGGGTCAACATCTGTGACCGATGTTTTAATTGATAATCAGGCAAAAAAATTAGACAATGACGGTCTTTACAGTTGTCTCCTTGTCTGCGCGTCTCCTTCCCAGCCTTTTCTCCACTGTTTTTTTGTGGTTATTTATAATCTAAGCAGAAATATAGAAAAAAATACATCAGGTGTTAATAAGATGGGAAATGAAATAGACAGCATGTGTGCAAATAAGAGGTAATGGAAATCATGCCATTAAACCTACCTGCAGGTCTTTACACTAGATCAACTGAGAGGGTTTCAATGGATGATGAAATTCACCAATGAAATTAACTAAAATAAGTGGGGAAAGAACAACATAAATAAATAATACAAAGCAAATCAACTTCAGTGCAAAAAATGGAATGGCAAATGTTTTCGAAAGCTTTCTTTCATACTTTAAGGGGATGAAAATACATAAAATGTATTTTAAATGAATAATGTATGTCAAATAAGTTATATTTCACAAAGTTTTCATTGATCAGGTGCATACTTACAGCTGTCTTCCTCGTCTGACAAATTGCTGACGATGTAGCAGGCATAAACAAATCCCAGGAGCTAAGAAAATGAACACAAAAAAGTAAAAAAGGGTAATTCATTGTCCTCAACAAGTGAACAGAAATATTCTCTTGACAGTGATATGAAAGATTTTATAGGAAACACAGAATTAAATTTAGCTGCTTTGTTAAAGAGGTGGTATTATGCTTTTTGGCTTTTTCCCTCTCCTTACCGTTCCTTTATTGAGTTAGCTCTCTTTTTTGTGCATGTAACAGGTTTGCAAAGTGAAAGTCCAAAGTCCAGCCCAAAGGGAGTTCCCATCTCCCACAGAAAGCTCTGCTCTGAACCGCTTGAAAACAGCTCGTTTGTAGTCCAGCCCTTCACTTCCTTTACTTGTGACGTCACAAACGCGTCATAAAGCTTGCGAAGCGGCTAACGAGGGTCAGGCACGGCCTCAAACCAAGCTAGACTGAGCGGAGGCCCTTTGGTCGACTTGCCTTTGTTTGGTTTTCCATTGTAGAAATGTTTTTTTCATATCACCTCACCTCCGTCGAGGTTCCAAGCAAGCTGAGGGATACTAAAATGTAACGTGAAAACATGACAGATTGCTGATTGGTCAGAGAGAATATTCACTATATTTTATTATATATTTTACAGTTTTTGTATGTAATTTCATCACTAAATCCACTTCTGAGAAGTTTTGAGGTGAGAAATCAGCTGTGTAAACTTCGAATATTGACAGTTTTAGGAGAAGTGATGGCGGAACAAAAATGTGTTTGAATATTTTTGGAGTTGAGGAGCTCAGCAAGTGGCTGCGGGGGAAGCCTGTGCCCACCCGCGGGAGGAACGTTAAAATTGTTTGGCCAATTTTTATGTAAAATTGATGATGATTTTTGTAGTGGTTTCTGGTAAGATGTGGAACAATGATGTTGTGTGGTTGTGGACTTGTGAGTAACTTGTACCATCTGCTAGGTTACGGTCGCAGTCTCAAGCGGCTTTGATTTGGATCACACTACCTTGTTTCTTACGACCCACCCTTCTCTGCTTCTGATTGGCTAGTAGTCCTTACCTGGGAACTGCGCATGTGCAACTCCCAACTAAGATTTTGTACAAGTAAGATGCATCACTCTGTAGCTCAAGAGCAGAGCGTACAACACATAGGGTGAAAAGAGAAGCTGCAGCAATGTGCAGTATGAGAAAAATATGGTGTTTTTTGAAAATTAAACCATGTAAACCTGTTCTGGTTCAACCCCTAATTAAGATTTTGAACCTTAAAATGAGCATAATACTTTAATGTTATTAGTAACACCTCTGCTTTTCCTATATGATAAGTCAAAATGTCTGCTGTGTGTGCAGAGCTACAGTCTCACATGTGCAGCGAGATAAAACTCATATCAAAATGGAAAGTGCATTGATTTTAAATATGTACTGTTTTATTAAGCAAGTCACAGGCTGTGTAATTAATCAATAGCAAAGTCACTACATCAGGTTGGTGATGGTGATGAATGACTGAATCAGGGATCTTCTTACAGTAACATGACCACAACCATGAACAAAACATTTACCAAATGTTAACTAGACTAATTGACCATAACCCTAAAAAATCGGTGCCTACTTTTACAGTGTGGTATTAGTACGTTTGCCTAAGTAAAGGATCTGCATACTTCCTCTACTATGGGTATGGGACACAAAACTAATGTGTTGAATGAGTTACACAGTAAAGTGTGACATCCAACAGTCAGAGAGACTCACTGATAGGAGGAGCTGGACGATGCAGTGCAAGATTTCTATGTACTGGTATTCCAGCCAGCAGCTCAGCACTGTGGTCAGCTCCGGGTTCTGCTGGTTCTGCCACCCAGAGGAGGGAAGGCCCTTGCTCTCACACCCCGGCCCCTTGTCCTTCCACCATGAGCGATGCGACGACACTCCCAGGGAGAGTGTATCGCTGTCCTACAGTGACCAAACAGACAGATGAGATGTTGAAACATCATCAGCATTGAAAAACATCCTCTTCTCCTCTCGCTGTGTGCCCACATAGTGAAAAAGAAACAAAAATACAAAAAGCAATAAAACAGAATAAAAAGACAAGGCAAACATAGAAACAATAAAAACAACAATAAGTGACAAAATATGTCGTTTGTCAATGCCTCCCACAACGACACATATGAGCATTTCCTGTACCAGTCCAGCCACTGGCATACCAGACCTTCACTACGTTACGGAAGTCACATTACTTCTCTTAAAACCTGACTTCCTCCGTTGCTATGGTCATAAGGTCACTAGAGGTCACAGTTACAATAAATGTAAATATGGATCATAATAACGTGCTTGAACAAACAACCTATATGGTTGTTTTTCTGGTGTGGACAGGCCATAATCAAAAGATAGGCAGAAAATAGCAATAACATTTATTTAAAATGAATACAGTGACCGATCACACAGAATTTGAAGAGATCGGTCGCTGAAATGTTCTTTTAGTGAATACCATTTTGATCCAGAAGAAGGAACTTTCAGTATAAACATCTAAATTGTAAAAATGTTTCATTCCAAATTTTAGTACAGACAAAGGAGCTTAAACCATAATAGTTATTCTCCCAAGTCGTGCAAAGTTACGTCTTAGAAAATTACTAAAGAAGGTAGAAGGCAATTATGTAATTCACACAACAGATTCATACCTATGGTGGTATAGTTATTTAAGTTTAATACTTCACACATGAGTCCAGTGAGAAAGATAAAAAAGATGGATCTTATTGTGAAGTCAAGCTATTGGTTCGGTAAGTTCTCTGGTAGTAAGAGACCAAACAGAGACAAAGAAGACAATTGAATGAATGAATAACTTATAAATGACTTGATTCATTTATAAGTAAATATTAAAATATAATGACAGATGTAAAAAACTACTTCCAGACTATCAGTAAAGACTAGAATTTAAAGTAACTATTTAAATTCCTGAATGTTGTATTTGTGATGCAAAGACTTATTATTTGTATTTTTACTTTGATTAATGAGAAATTAATCAATTCCAGAATATTTGAACTTCCTTTGTTTTATGTAAATTATTCAACTAATCAGTTCATTATTTTAACTGTTTAGGAGTTTTCTCTTCTAAAACACTACTAAGTTGTGTCTGTATATAAAAATATATAAAATCAATAAAGACCAATTCAATTTATTTAGCAATGCAGGTAGGAGAAATAAACAAGCTACTGTCACTTCATAACACAAAACATGTTTTACCTGAGAACAGTAAGGTGTGCTATCATGTGACTGGTCTCTTGAGACATGCATAGGTTTGAACACTGTATTTAGGAGCTGAAGCTGCATGGGTCTCTAATTATCTGACTCTTACGTGACCATTACTTACCTTTGAAAGCCCTCCCAGATCCAAGTAATGGCAGCTAACAAAGACATTCCAGCCAACCCACAACAACGTCCACAGCAGGTACTGAGAAGACAAAAACATTATAAAGAAAATTACAACATGGTCGCAGTGTAGCACATAGGGCTCCTCTCTTTTCTCACAAATGTCCTAATTCTGAATGATACAAGTGCATAAAGTCACTGGTTCCCAAGATAAATCTGAAGCGAACGAAGAATGGAAGAGAAAGAAAGGCAAATATTCCATAAAAATGTATGTGTAGTTTGTATGCCTTACTTTTATCTAAATTTTTAAGATTTTTTCCCCCTTGTAAAAATACTGGATACTATCACTACTTCAAGCCTCCAAAAATCATTCAAATGACTCAATCAGAATCAAACAATCTCATCTGTCGCTGGGTTTTATTATTATTATTATTTTAATATAAGGTGTTGATAGAGATTGTCATGTGGATGGTGACAGTGATGGTATTATTATTTTAGTTTTTTTTTTTTCATTCTTTATGTAATAAGAAGATTGATACCACTCTCACGTCTGTGGGATAAATATTAAGCTACTGCCAAGAGACATTAGCTTAGCTTAGCATAAAGACCGGAAACAGGGGGAAACAGCTAGCCTGACTCTCTCCCGAGCTGACAAAATGACAAAAATTAGGAAGTCTAAAGCTTATTAGCACATTATATATTGTTTGTTTAATCTGTACAAAAACCGAAGAGTAGAACTTTGATTTTTTATGTGAGTTAAAATTGGGGATTAGTAACTTCCTGGAGTCTTCGCTGGCTGACAGGAGGGGCCGGGGCTAGCAGGTTAGCATGCCAACTTCAGTAGATATGTCTGCAACACAATACATGGATGTCTTTGACATGAGCGGTTTACTTCCTCACATTCTGTTGATAAATATTTTTGAATGTTTTAAACTTAAATTCAGGCCATATTTTACACATAAATGGACAGATACAGTGAGTATCAATAGATAGAGTGATAGAGTGTTTATCAGATACAGAGTGGTATCAATCTTCTCATCTAACTTGTGTATTTCACAAAATGTTGAACTATTCCTAACAAGCCGAGAAAGGCTGGAAACCACATTCAGTAATTAGAATAATTGGTATTCAGTGCTTTAAGAGGACCGTTTTGGAAGCTCATAAGGAAATCAGTTTCCTCACCATAATAACATAGCGTGATCTGTACTGGATGACACCAAACAGGCCCAGGATGACCACAATGATGTGAAAGAAGTTGATCATGATGGGAGCCCACTGGTAGCCAAGGAAGTCAAACACCTGCCTCTCCAGCGCAGTTATCTGGAGGGGTCAACAGGAGCAGAAACTGAGTTTAGAAACCCTGGCTGCAATGATGACATATAAAAGACACTCACTTTGTCACACCAGTCGGTGTCAGGTGAGGCTTGTTGCCCTGGGTTATTAGACCGCAATCTCTTGCTTGTGCATCCCACAGGGTTGTATTTTTTTTGTTCTCATAAGTTGTCAAGGCAACTGAGCCATGGGGGACAAAGCATGCTGGGGAAAGGATGGTTATAGTGTTATGTTCTTTGAGGTCAGGGATCCCTGTCAGTCTTGAAGGGGGGGGGCAGGGGGGGAAACATGGAGGAGGACAAAGTGGGTGCAGTCATTCATTATGGTGGTTGTAGTGGTGGGCAGTCATTGCTTATCAAAAGCACATGAAACTACAAGCATATTATTAACATAGTTCACAAAAAATATATGTCTATTAGGGCTGCAACTATCAATTCAACAAATATCAACCAATCTGCCAACTGTTGTCAATAAAATAGAAGAAAGAATAGTAGTAGAAGATGCCAGTCATAAATTACCAGAGCCCAAGGTCTTCAAATTCCTTGTTTTGTCTGAACAATAGTCAAAAACTCAAAAGATATTCACTTTACTTTGAGAGAACACCAAGAAAATCTGCAGCATGTCTTACATTTCCTTTCAGTTGATGTAGAAACATGAATTAATAATGGCAATGTGAATGGAAGGTCATCAACACCAAAGAACAAGAATTTAAGTTGGTTTTGGTGATTGTTAAACTAATTGTAGCCAATAGTATAAATGTTGAATTTTATATTGTCAGAAGCACCAACAAAGAAACTTTTTTGTAATAAATAACAAGTACTTTAAGGTAGGCTATTTAATTAATTTTAAAAAGTAGCTTTTGTTCACAATTTATTGTAATTTTCATCAGTTTAAGTTGCTTGTATCACCAGAGGGGAAAATATAGCTGCTGTCCTGATGTGTAAGTAGATGTGTTTGTGATGAAGCATCTGTGAGACAGAAAAACATCTTACCAACTGCAAACAACACAGGAGGATCAGCATGCATCGCGCCGAGCAGCAACCCATCTTCTTCCTCTCTGCTCCCGCTGGGTCCGATGATGATGATGATGAGGAGGAGGAGGAGGATGTGGATAACAATGAAGCGACTGGATTTTAAAATTGCTCAAACACAAGGGACGAACTTGCGAAGCTTTAGATCCATTGCCAGACGTGCGAGGAAGCGCACAGTGCACTTTACCTCATGAGGAAAACACGTAGGCTGGCCCTGTGTGGAAACTAAGGAGAAGGGGGAGGGTATGCTGTATGAGAGGCGATTAATGCCACAGTGAAGGACACAATCAGCCTCAGGATGCTCTGAGGCTTTTTTTATGGACAATAATGTTTGTGATGTTCAGTGAAATTCCAGGAGCTGTTGTAAGGGGCTATACAGTTGTTTTTAATGAAATTAATCACTTTTTATTGCCTGTGTGTGAAGGGGTTGTAATCTCAAATAAAAACGATCAACTTGTCAGGTTTTGCAGCTTGATAAGCTGCACACACAGGCATGTATGCACAAAAACAACAACAAAGGTTTATATAATACTGAGCAGTTGCTAACATTATCTGGTGCAAAGTACTACAATGTTAGTTTTATGGCTTTTCACATTACTTCACCTTAAATAAATTATTGTAATCCATCGTCAACCACTTATCCTGCGTACAGGGCTGGAGCCTATACCAGCTGACATTGGGCGAAAGGCGGGGTACACCCTGGACAGGTCGCCATTCCTTCGCAGTGCCACATACAGACAAATAACCACTCATACTCATATTCACACCTCAGGACAATTTGGGGGACACCAATTAACCTAGCCTGCCTGTCTTTGGATGATGGGAGGAAGCCGGAGCACCTGGAGAGAACCCACACGGACACGGGGAGAACATGCAAACTCCACACAGGGGCAACCAGCAACCTTCTTGCTGTGAGGCAACAGTGCTAACCACCGCACCACCGCGCCGCCCCAATAATAATGATGATAATAATAAATGACACCCTCTATTGGCCAGCTGCCCTTGGTCAGAAATCCTGTTATAGGCTTATTGCCACGTTCCAGACCAGTCGATACTGGGAAATTTCCAAGTTGAAATATCCAACTTCTGACCTCAAATGTTTCAGGTGTATGGTGGTGCATGACACCAAATGTAAACAATAAACATGGCTGACCATGACAAACTTATGTGTCAAAAATCCTCAGCAGTGCACTCGGTGTTAATTAAAAGGATGGTCATTATATTAAAAACAAGTGATAAATATACGTTACTCGTTAACTGTGTGTCCTTCTAGATACATCAGTTGGTAGGGTAAAGTTGTAGGCTATATTTCCAAATGTTTTCACATTTCTGGGCATTTTTAAAATTTTCCTCAAGAACTTTTGGGTAGAAAGATGACTTTCAGAGACTGTTTACTATAAGCTACCTAATAACAATGACAAAATACTTCTACATCAATTTACATGCAGAACAAGTTTTACTATTTGATGCTATTATGTATTATTTTAATTTAATATTTTACTTTGCCTTTTAGTTTATGGTTTACTATTTACAATGTGTTCTTCCATGGGAGCTGCCATTGGTTTGTGACGTCATTCGCCTGCTGCTCATGAAGTCGGGTTTTTCTAGTTGGAAGTCGGAAAAATTTCCCCAGTTCCCAGTAGCCTGGAACGCAGCATTAATTTTGTTACCGATCTTCTGTCTCCCATATAGGCTAATGCTTCTGTTTCTCACGCACCGTGGCACGGAATGACCTTCATACAGCAACACCGTCTTCTTCACCCTGATAGGTAGTTGCTCCTCTTCAGTGCTCTTAAGAGCCAGTAGGTGGTGGTAGAGTGGTGGAGGTATGCTCTAAAGGTGTGTGAGAGTGGCAAGGTTGCAACAAGCAAAGAGCAGGACTTTACTGGAATACATTTAAAATATGCTGTAGATAAATAAAAACTAAATAATGATATTAATATTTCTCAACTCACCTGTATTTGGGCCAACTGTCATTAAAGTGGAAAAGGCAAACGTGTAATATGGAGTCAAACCGGGTTATTAGAGGCTCCTGCAGGGGTCATGAACTTGTTGTGAAGCTTATATTGATCCATTTCCATATAAACTCACTCCCACATTTCAAGAGATCAATAAAGGCACCAACACAGCAACAGTTAGACCTGTTTCTTTGACTAACTCAAGCCAGTATGAGTACTATATCATAACTGTCTCATACATCAACTAGCCTAGGCCTATATGTTTCAGAAAATCAGACAACAATTTCAACGGATCAATTTCACTTTATATTCCTAAAAGTAACCTATAATTTAGACCATGAGTGTTCAAATTGCAGTAGCCCACAGACTCTAAATTGCCCCCTATTTGGCTCTGAAATTAACCAGAGCCTCGTGCACCTTTAGCAGGGACTGAGAAATCCTCATAAACGGGAATCATCCCATTCATTAGACGCAACACCCGCAATTTCCAGTCCTTCCACGAGAGGACGCTAGAATCGAAAGACAAATTTAAAAATTGGGGGGTCTCCAGCTCTGACTGTGTCACATGGAAGCACAGTAGCTGAGCCGAGTGGATGCGAGTACAGATGGAGGGGGCTTGAGGTACTGTGGGGGAGAAACCTGGCACTTGGAGATAATATTGGAGATACAGCGGCGGCGGCGGCGGCGGCGGCAGATAGGCAGGTCAGACACTTCCCAGCCTTCCTTCTGGCTGGGGAGCAGAGGAGCGCGGACGGGGCGCACAAGGGGGTCAGCGGGCGCTCGGAGGATGTCACATGCAATATGCTGCATTCGTGTTTTGTGAAGCCCAAGAAAGCCCAGTTATCGCCGTTGATTGATTATGTTCGCGGAGAGCGCCTGGTCCGAGTGGAAGCAGAAGGAAGCGACCAGGGTTGATGCTGCGCCTTCCAAAATCTCTGAGCTGAGTGAGTACAGGGGTGCTATAGCGCAATGCTCTGTGCCCGTGGCTATGTGACAGGCTGGAGGGAGGGTGGGGAGGTGGGTCATTCATATGTGCCTATAGATTCAGCTCGATAAGCTGCACACACAGTCGGCGCACAGCATCTTTTATTCATCCAAGATATGTAGCCAATACCGTTTTGCATGTTTTCCTTTGTACTCGCCCTGTTTTCTCTCTCTCTCTTCTTCTATCTCCACTGGTCATACATTTAACACACAGACACGTGTGCACCCACCTCAGCGTTACTGCATTGCCCTTTTGCGATTTAAGCCCCAAATAACGGATTCATCAGACAACTTCGTTGTGAATTAGTATGGGGAAGGCGCAGGGAGCTTCCAATCACGCGTTTCTTCTGCGTAACATCCCTGCCGACTGTGAAGCATAAAGATAATTAACGATAGACCTTCCGTTAACGTTTGTACCCCCCACCCCCTCTCCACCTTTCTCCCTCCTTCACTCATAAACAGGGGGGTGTGGGGAACTGGCTTTGTCGTGTAAGTTGCCAGCTGACCTCGGGGACACCACGTCTTTTAACCATTCTCACTTTGATCTGGAAATGAATCGGAAACGCTTTGATGATTACAGAAGAAAAGGAGGAAAGAATCTCTGGCGCTACAGGCTTAACAAAAAAAAACATGATAAAAGCAGACTGCATCAGCCTGAAATTCTTCATTTTCTGTGACCATTCCCCCCCCCGCCTCAAATCACACCCTGCATGCTTCTACTGTCTCAGCCGGCATCATTTGAAACCTGTTGTCACCAGCATCACTGCAGTTTGAGGTGTCAGAGCCCAGAGGCGCGGCGAGCCGGGCAAGCCGAACCGTCAACCATGGTGTGTGACTGATGCCTGCCGAGTGGGTGCCATCATGAGCCAACATACATACCCACCTCCCCTGTTACACATAAGCCCCTCATGGAGGATTTCTTTATTGTACATAACAGGCCCCCAGTGGAAAAAACATGATGCTGAATTCCCCTTTTAACTTTCAGCATCTCTGATGTTGTTCCGCCGTTTCAAGGTCCCCCCACTCTGTCAAAGCTGCTGGAAAGGATGTGAATCATGTGATCACAAGTCATTATAATTATTCTTTCATTTGCTGTGGATAATGTCAGGCGGTTTGTATCATAGGCAGCGTTGCCACAGATAAAGACAGAGCCTCAGCTTTTCTTCCTCACAGGGGCATGGTTAATCGTTGTTGCAAGCAAACATTTGACCTAATTCACATTCTCACACAATAGCAGTCTCCTCTCTCACCCCCCATCTCTCTCTCTCTCACACACACACACACATACTCACTCACACACACTGCTGTTATTTGTGTCACACAGAGGGTGAGGGGTTTTTTTTGCTCCACATGAACTCCCAGGTGGTTTATCAAAACCTGAGCAGATTCGGGAGAGGCGACTGCTGGCTGGGTTTGTGGAAAGGAGCTCCAGTATTATTAATAATGAACACACATGTAAATGCAATGCTTGTTCCTAGAAAATTAAAGGCCTACTGGTATTTATTGCAACAGCATGGGCTAAATGTGTTCCCACAAAATGCATTTTAAAGGGGATTACACCACAATTGCTTGCTTGAATTTATGGCCTCTTCAGGTGCCTCCAGCAGAAAACATGTGTTTTATTGTCTGAAAAAGTTAGAGTATGATCATTTGTTTTGTTTAAAAAGAAGTAGAAGAAAATATGATCTGATGATTTGATTGGCCAGTTGTGTCACCAATCATGTTTCACACTTTCTTTAAAGACATTTAATTGTTGAGATTAGATCCAAGTCAACAGGTGATGTGTTTTTTATCAATTATTCAGTCATCAATAGCACTGCAGCTAAAGGCTAATTTTCTTGATTAATCGATTTTGGTATAGAACACCAGAGAACAGTGAAAAATCTCCTAAGGCTTTGTTTTCAAATGTCTTAAATTGTTTGTTGGTGTTGTTTTTAATAAAAAACATCATCCATTCTCTAGATCCAGCTTCTCCAATGTGAGGATTTTTCTCTGTTTTATGTATTTGTTAACTGGATCAATCAGTCAACAATAAGAAGATGCGTTTTTTCACTATTATTGTTTATAGACTTATTGATTCATCGATTAACCATGGAAATTAACAGATTTATCAGTAATTTTTTTTTTATTTTTTAGCAATATAGCTTGAAAAATTACGTAAACAACTAATCGATCATCAAATAGCAATCGACTAATCAGTTAGTTGAACTAATTGTTACAGCTCTGCGGTCATCCACGTTGTGGCGGTTGAGACCCAAACTTACATCCATTCATTCATGTGTCTTATAGAGCTGCAATGATTAGTTAATCAACAGAAAAAGTATCTGCACCTATTTGATAGTTTTACTTCATTTTCAAAGTAAAAATGATCAAACATTCCTCAGTTACAGCTTGTCGTTCGTGAGGATTCATTGCTTTTCTTTGTCTCATGTGATGGCAAATTCAGTATTTTTAGTATTTCGGCCTGTTTTGATGACATTTGCCTTGGGCTTTCGGAAACTGTGACATTTTTCATGGCTCTCTGGTGTTTTATGGAACAAAACATTAATTGAAAAAGTATTTGGCAGATTAATCAATGATAAAAACAATCATTAGCCGTCCTAGTCTCCTGTTTGTCCACTGATTCAAGAAGAGAAAATAATATACAAGGAATAAAGGGAAATCTATATGTTTTTTCTATTCAGAAAAATAATCTAAGCTCAGAGGTCCACTTGATAGTTTTTAGAGCTTTCAAATGCATTTTATAGTGTTTATTTGCTGATATTTTGATGCACTTACTGTTCCCTAGGGATTATTTATATAATTATTACTTTAAAAAAATTTACAGTACAATACATGGGATTTAGTGAAGAAACCAGATATTAATGATTGATGATGTTCCAGTTTCCTTGACACATAAGGCCCCTTCTTAGTGTAAATAGCCTTCTGGTCTGTGATACATGGTCAGGGCAACACCTGGAAAATCTGCACCTGCAGTTTGTAACAAGCACACCAAGCTCCACAAGCAAGGGGGGTGGGGGGCCCCTCTGTGGCCGAGGGAGTGGGGGCTTTGTTTAGCAGAAAAGCAGCCAGGGGAGGGCCATTTCTTGCTCTTGCTCTGAGCGCTACGTCCAATTGGTTGGCTCTGACGAGGCAGCTCTAGGGCCAGAGATTACACTGCAGTGCTGAGGCGTCACTCTGGCTGAACACCGCAGCCGGAGGCAGGGGGATAGCGGCAGAAAAGAATGGGTGGGGAGGTGTGGACACACTCAGTGAGACAGGGAAGGGAAGGGAAGGGGAGGAGAGCTGGGAACCTTTTTGGGAAATGTGACAGCATCTTCTTATCATCTACTTTCAGCGTATTCAAACACCTGCCACAGGACTCCCACACACATCTTCCTCCCCTCCTCTCTCTCCTTTCTATTCCTCCACACCTATACCTTTCCCCTTTCTTCTCTCTCATTACCTTCTCCATCTCTACTCCTCGGCTCTGTTGTCAAATCAGCACAGATATAATTACACTGACACTGTAAATTAGATGATTGTTGCGTCATAGGTGCAAATGGTTCTTTAAAACAATCATATTATAGAACATATTAATAGAAATTATAGTGGGGATAATGTCAATGAGGAAACAAGGCAGTTCCTCTCTGGTCAGGATGCCCTGAACTTAAAAAGAAAACTACAAGGAGCGTGCAAAGAACCTGCGAGACATCCGTGGGTGAAATGTGGTGCAAATTGGATTTCATGCTGAGAAGAGTTGGGTTTATGGCTGGATCTGCTAAAAGAAATGCAAATTACCAAAGTCTGCAAAACTTTTACCACGTAGAGAGCCTGATAAACTTCTGTCTCTATGCTGTCTGTTCTAATAGAAAAGCAGATACATAAAGTACATAAGTAATGTCTGTCAAATAATATGCTCACTGTCATAGTGAAGAAGAAACAGTCACAAAGAACAAAATAAAAAATCAGGGAAGACAATTCCACATGGATAAAACGTCAACATTAAAAAGGGGCAGTGAATTGTACTGTGCGGACCAGTGATATTGCAGCTATAGAAGACCACGCCCTCTACCAAGAAAAAAACAAACTACAATATGGGTTATTTGCATAACTTTAGTGAGGTTTATCTAGCAATTTGTTACTAAAACATAATGAAGCCCTAATTAAGTTCAACCAAATTACAAAGTCACGGATCAATGATTTTAGAGAAGAGGAAACATACCAGCAATTCACGTTTTGGATGTTTAATTTTTTTTAAACTTTATTAGGCCTCCTAGCTTTACAGATCTCTACTGTGAAGCTAAAACGAGACTATTTGAGCAGATCACTATGTTGGCTTCAGAAATGCCCACTCATGTTGTGATTTCTCCTGAAAAACAGCAAGGTATCCAAGCCTCTGGCAGGCTGTCAGAGAAGATGTACATTGTACGCCAGGCTACAGACAAATTGTTAAAGTAATTGGACTGTGAAGATTAAATTCTGTCTGGAAGGAAAGGATCTATGTAGAATCCAATACTAAAGTCCGTTGTTCAAGGATTTGATCATCAGTGAGGAGGATTGAGGAAGAGATTGTCTAAAAGTACAAGATCCATTATAGACTGTTGTGTTTGAAAGAAAATCTGTAGTTGTAAACTGAATAAATATATGAGAGTACATGTACAGACAGTTAGGTATTATCATCCCGAAACTTCAGTTCAGCAAGACTTTGGACAAAACTAGGCGGTTTATTTTCCCGCAATCTGCCATTCAGTCTTGTTGTTGCTGATGGACAAGTGACAAACACACATGAAAACACAGTCACAGTAGACAGATGGCACGATTTGACAGAGATTAGAACAGGCTTTTTGCTTGGTCTTTTTGTTACGGCTCTGTGTTTGTATTGTTTACTTCAAACATATTACACTGCCAAATGTGAAATTGTCTGGCAAGCAGCAAGAAGTAGAGGAGAAGCAAGAAAGATGTTTCTTTTCTGCTCTCTCTGCTTTCATACTTGTCTCCTTAAGTGTTTCAGGTTACTCTGCCTGCTGGCATGTTCAGCTTTGCCATGACTCATCGTATCTTCTCAATATATATGTTTGTTTGTGTTTGAATGGTTAAAAACATAGGAAATTTGTAATTACCCATATGCATCCGAGCTGCTTCCTGAAAAACAGATTAGCAGTAGATTCTGAGGGAATACAGTTCAGATATAGAATTTGTTTCTGGTTTATTTCAGTTTGTTGAATATATGTATGATTGCTGGATTACTTTAAGTACTAGCTCACTTTTCAATCTAACTGAAAATCTTTGCCGGTGAGCAGGTATGTCTATGTGACACACAAAGTACCATAATCCCTCAAACAAGGTTAAGCAGAAGCACATGCCGGAGGCGTAATGTCTGTTCCCTTCACTGCTTCAGCGCTGGACGGGACTTCTAACTCTTCAAACTGCCGCTTTCCTTCTGCTTTTTGCAGTGTGAATAGTTTAACTTCTGGTTCTGCTGCTTTGTTAACCTCCTAAATAAAGGTTAGATAATTTTGTAATTAAGCACCACTCTGTGCCTTCTCACTGCAGATCCCAGTGAGACTGTGGCACTTCCCTGCGTGCATGAATTGTAAGGGCGTGAGTGTGAGTGTGTGTGAGAGCAAGTGAGCGCCAGCGCTCCCACATGGCCTCCATGCAGGACGGGCTGAACTTCACGGCTCCTCCCTACGGCAAGGTCCTGCTGCTGGGTGCTATCGCTGCTGCCTCAGCCTTTGTTGTCACGATCCTCATCGTGGTGCTCTGCGTGGGCTGCCAGAGGTGAGAGCAGGCACTGTGCACGCACGTATGACCACACACACACTGATACACACGTGTGCTCATTTGCATTTGCAGAACACTTTGAATATTTACACACACCAGTGGTGGAATAGGTAATCAGGTCTTTACTTAAATAAAGTTAACAATACAAATAAGTGAAAATACTTCATTACAAAGTCCTGCATTCGAAATCTTACTTAAGTAGAAGTACAGAAATATTGTCAGCAAAATGTACTTTAAATATCTAAAGTAATGGTCCTGCAGTACAACGTTGCCTGTGATTGATGTATTATTATAGAGAACTTTATTAGACTGTTAATATTGATGCATCTGTACAGTTTATGCATGCATTTTACTGTTGTAGCTGGTTGATGTGGAGCTAGTTTACCTAAGATACATACATCAGTTTGGTAGTTTAGCCCAGTGGGTCCCAACCTACGGATTGAGCCCCTCCAAAGAGCCACAACATAAGTCTGAGGGGTCATGAGATGATTAATGGGAGAGGAAAGAAGAAAACTTTCAGATAGACCAACATTTATTTGTTTGTTATTTGTACTTTTCACTAATCTTTGATTTTATTTAATTTTTTTGAAATATTGGATCATTTAACCTTCTGATGTTTTACCATTAAGTTCAGACGAGAAATCACCCATAGACATTTGAAATGTGACAAGGGGCCCCCACTAGACACTGATTTTTCAAAAGAGGTGACAACACAAAAAGGCCAGAACAACTGGTTTAACCCATAACAACTAATTGTATTTTATAAGCTTATCATATTACTATTTTAAATGTAAAATATTAATCTGGAAAATAACCTCTATCTATAACTGTAAAATGAATGTAGTGAGAAAAAAGTATATTTCCCTCTGAATTGTAGTGGAGTAGAATTATAATGTAGCAAAAATTGGAAATACTCAAGTAAAGTATCTCAAAATTGTACTTAAGGACAGTACGTGAGTAAATGTACTTCATTACTGTCCACCACTGGCAGGCCCACACACGTGCACAGTCATTAGATGACTCATACACACATGGACTGTGACTCAAACTCTGCACATGCACACATTCACAAAGAAGTGCATCACAGTAGTAAGTGTCAACCTGTGTGACATAGCGGTTGTGTTCACCACAGGAAAGGGAAGACACACAATGTTCCTGGCGAGGGTGGAAAACACCGTCTCATGGACATGGTAGGTATCAAGAAACATGCTCCTCCATGTTCTTTTTTTGTTTTTTTGTGTTGCAGCAGAGGTAGCTGAAGCAACTCAATTCACCAGGGAACAATATCATTCAGAGGACATCTCTTCAGTCTTAATTAGTGTTTAACTGGCCCTGTGTGTGTGTGCGTGTGTGTGTGTTGTCAGGGTATACTCAGGCAGTCGAAGCTCCGGTCCATCAGTAAATCAGACACTGAGATGAACAAGATGACCTGCAATGGCAAAAGTGAGTGCATCTTTCACATACAAATTCTGACCTGTGTGTTCTGTAAATAGTACCTCCGTGTTGTTTGGTGAAAACCTTGTTTCTCCTAAAAGTCAACTCTTCTGGAACTAAACAATCTGGTGTTGTTTTAGCTGCATGACAAAGCACTTTTGGCATCGCTGCCAGAGAATTTGGGGGGAATTTTCTGAGCCGCAGGGGTTGAAAATTGTTCTCAACCACTTGAGCATGAGATTTTTCATCTTATATGAGAGCATAATAAAACAGAGACAGTCGAGATACAAAGTTTTCACCCAACAGAATCAACGTGGTGTGTGAAATGGAAAAATGGAAAATCAATTGGAATATTTAGCAGCAGATCAATAGTGTGACAAGTAAATGCGTCAATGGAACAATCATCCACAGATAAATCGAACTGTAACATGTTCTGATCTGTCTGGTTTAGCTTTATCCTCATTAATTAATGCCAGGCTAGAGTCCTGTAATAAAGCAAATAAATATTTAGGTATATGTTTAACATTTGCACCGATCTTTGATCAGTTCTTTTGTCCACATGCTCAGTATCTGATCCGGCCCTAAATTCATGCAAAACCTTCTGTAAATCTGTAATCAAATTTAAGTACACTTTAGAAGAGAAATTTACCCTAAAACAGAATTCACCTTACATTTACAGCTTAGTCTTATTCCACTGGACTGTTCAATCTTGATTTGTGAACACGCATCTCTCTCTCTCAAAGACAGAAATCAGAGAGCCAAGACAAGTCCTGGAGCTCCATCACTGACAGTCAACAGGGAACTATGTTTGTGGGCACTGTGACAGTAGCCTGAGAGGGTTTGAAGAAATATAAGCATATGTCCTACTTCATTTTTGTCCTGCTTCCACTGCAGTGGAATAAAGTCAATTTGGATGCATTTTCTCAAACATCTACGTCAGCTCCCAGTTTACTGTCTGCGCCAGATTTTCCTGTTACCAGTGAGAGATTTATTCATGTTCGAAATGTTTGCTGAACTGTCCAGTGCATGAGGAGTAAACGTATGTGAATTCTGTTTTATGGTGGACAGAGGCATCTAAAGAGAAACGTCCAGCAAGCATGGACCTTCTACTGCTGCTCAGCCGCCGGTCTAACTCTGATCTCCGTTCTCAAGGCAGGCAGCTTCCTCAGATCCCCTCTGGGACTGGAGAGGAGGGAGAGCACACTTACTCTGAGGTGGGCCGACGCTCCTCCACCACACGTACCGACGATGCCCTCTACGCCATGGTAGGCAGGGCCGGGCAGACAGACACTCCAGCCCCTCCGGCAGTCCCCGCAAACACTCCGGCGCCCCCGGACCCAGACGGGGATGTGGAAGGAGGGCTGCCTGAACCTGAGGCCCAGGTCATGTCTCCCCCTCATCCTCAGGAGACGGCCGAGTATGCCTGTGTCAGGAAGCTGAGGAAGGCCGACAAGGCACCACAAAAGAGGGACAGTGGGACGGATATGGGGGTGCCTCCAGCGCCACCTCCACGACACGCTCCGCCATCACATCCTGCTCCTCCTCCACCACACCCCCACAGCACAAAGTTGCCCCGTAGAAACGTGGACGCCTTCAACGTCCCGGCATTCCCAAAGGTTGGTGGAGGAACTTTTTTTGTATCTGATGATTTAAAAGAGTTCATATAATGTTTTGAAGTTCATACAATGGAACAGTAGTTAGACAAGGATAAGGGACACTTAGTAATAGCTTTGTCCGGAACATGAGATTCAGTTCTCATTAAGTGGACCTTATGTTAAGATTGTTTAAGGAAAAAAGTTCTTATACAGGGTGAATTTGGTTTTAACATTGTGCCATTTAGGATATAAGCAAGTAATTATTAACCTTTAAAACACATCATTTCAGGTGATGGAGCATTGACAGATTTTTTTTTGAGATGTGGGCTTGAATTAGATTTTTTTTATATGTTTCTTAAATGTGACATAATTCCCACATAAATAACACGTAATAAGTCTCTCATAATGTTGATGATCTTGTACAGGATTCTGTTTTATGGGCTGAGGGAGGTCAGCAAGTGATGACTGGAGAGGGAGAGAAGGTTTAGAGCTAAGGTGGGTCGCTAGTGGTTTTGCAGAGGTCTGACTGGAGCAGGTAATGAGATCATACAAAGCAGATTAAGACTGAGTCGATGCCTTGTACACTGAGGGTCATTGATTTTTAGGGTAAAATTGTCAATTTATTTATCCAGGCTATTGGCTTGATGGATGGCCATTCAGAATGATTAACTGGATGTGTTGTGATAGTTTAATACAGACATTCATGCTCCTCAGAGGAAAAGTCCTACTGGCTTTGGTGATGCCCTGACTCTTCCAATAGCGCCATCATGAGGTTCACATTTGTGTTTTTTAGTAAAATATCTTCGCAACCATGGGATCGATTGTTATGAAATGTGTTCCTCCGCTTAGGGTGAATTGCTAATAACTTTGGTGATCCTCAAGCTTTTCATCTATTGCCATTATCAGGTCCAATTTTTAATAGTCCAAGACTTTGGTTTATGACTAAACTCCTGCAAAATGAATGCTTCATCAGCCTGAGCTGTAGTTGGTCGTGTACTTGTGGTTAGTGCTATTTAGCAAACATGCCAACACATCAAACTGAGATGGGGAACATGGTAAACAATATAACTGTTAAACATCAGCATGTTAGCATTATCACTATGATAAAGCTATGATCTCTATTCTGGTGTTAGCGTTTAGCTAAGTAGAGTCTCACAGAGCTGCAAACATGGCTGTAGACTCAAAAAAACAAAAAAATACAAGGCTGCGTTGTTTCTGGTACAAGTGAGATGTAAAATACAATCCTTAAAGTCCACTTTGAGTAACAGATCCGTTTAAGGTCTTATTTTTTTAATCTGTGGTTGGGACAATTACCTGGTAAGCAGTAAAAATATAGCGTTCATATTACAATGCACACTTTGATTGGCCACTGCAGAACCATACCAGATGTCACTTTTAGTCAAGTTCAGCCAGGTTCAGCTTTTTTGCTGGACGACCCTGTGTTTTTTGCTGTTGACGTCACGCTGGCACCCCCTCTGCATCGGCGGACTGGCCTCTAGAGTCGGTCTGAAGGCGGCCTTAGTCTTGTTTAAACACACATACAGTGGTGTAAAAAGTCTCTGAGATCTTTGTTCTGATTGTCATGCTCAGATTTTTTTTGCTTCCTGCACTGACATGTGTTACAAATAACTTTGCGATGATTGCTTAATTCTGTAGTTCTTTGTCAGCATCAGTATGATATATTCAAATGCAGTTTCTAGTCCAGGTGCAGCAAGCAGGAGCTGGAGAGTATTTCTGTCAGATTTCCTGTTGATGCTGCAGAGGATCCACACAGTTGTAATTGTGCCAGTGTTGCAGTTTTCTCTGCACTTGGCTACATCATGCATGGTGTTGTGATATGTTAGCACTTCTGTAGACATTTCTTTGAAGTCCAGGCTGTGAGCTGTGTTTATTTGTTGAAGAGTTCTTAGTGATAGTGGGGTATTTCTGCTCTCAGCAGTGTCACCTCCTCCATATGTTCGCAGCAGCAGGAGTGTAGGCAGACGGTCTGATTTTACTGTGGATATAAAGCTTTGTGCTCCCCTCTAGGTGACAGTGGGAGACCATTTGCTGCCCTGTGTGAGGTCAGCAAGGTTGCGCTTTCTGCTGTGACCTGAGTTCAGTAGCACGCACAGTTCACAGGGCTTACATGTGTACGCAGTCTGCTCGCAGGGCTGTTCGCCACTGATTTTCTTGTGGATGATGCAACATGTTGAAATTGAGTCATCCAGAATATAAGCACATGGTTCCTCACCATACAAGCTCCACCTTCCAGGGAAAATCTTTTCAATACTGTATGAAATCCATCCAATACATTTCTAATGCCTGCTCCAACTGTGCTACAACACTTTTGCATGTTTAAAGTGGCTAATTTGTCTTTTATGAACCCCATTGGGTCGGTTTTCAGAATGCAGTTTTTATATTCACAAATACTCAAAGAAGACACGCATGATCATGGGAGAAGCTCTGCCCCAAATGTAATTTCTTGTTCTGTTGACAGGAAGTGATGTTTATGGGCAACGGAGAGCAGTATATCTGGAAGCCTCCAGAGGATGAAGAGATGCTCATGCACCAAAATAAAGCCCTGGGACCGTTGGGTGCTCACACAGTGGAGAATATACAACCGTCTGCTGCTGTGGTGAGCGAGGACTCTTCAGTCTGTGCATCAGCCTATCTGTTAAATTACTGTGTAGAAGCTCTCCTTTCCCAGTGTTCCCCTTAAATGTACCATTAGATTTAATATTAACTTTAATATTAGACAAAACATTTTTACACATTATTTTACAGTATCCAGTAATTCACTCACTTATTTTGCTCTTAAATTGATTTAATTCAGTCCCAGTTTGTGCCTCTCATGTACTGAATTGCCAGTGCATTTTTTAGTCATAGAGCTAAGCATCTCTTTCTGAAGAATAAATACCTGGCAGTTTTTTTTATACTAAGAAGGTCGTTTGTATATTTGTTCTGAAGGTATTTCAAGAATACTCAAAGACTCCTTTAACCCTCTGGATGAAAAAAAATCCAACAACAAATCAGTCTGCTGCACAATAAAAAAAGATTTTGAACGCATTTTCCAAACTACAACTCTATTTCATAATTCAAATAAATGGAAAGGAGATATGTCCTTTCTGGCTACCTTGGCACAATAACTTCCTAGTGACTCTGCCTGGCAACCTCAGGTGACAATAAGCACTTAACTCCCCATTAAACCACAAGTTGTCATTTACACTTCAGTTGTACAGATTAAACAAACAGCATTAATTAGTGAGCTTTAAAGGTGCTGTTAGGAAGATTTTGTCACCTTTGGACAGCGCCAGGCTAGCTGTGTCCCTGTTTCCAGTCTTTATGCTAAGCAAACTCCAGCTTCATATTTAATGTACCTATATGAGAGTGAAATTGATAATTTAACCCTTGCTTCAGTACAGCAGCTTCAGTAATGTGTTGTTTGACTGCAGGTGGCTGAGATGTACTCGAAGGTGTGTAAACCAGGAAAGAAGAAGAGAGCTGTGCCGGGGTCTCCCCCAGCAAATCCTGGCTTCCGGACCTTGGGTCGTGGTGACCGGGACCGAGACCGGGATGGGGGGTTTAGTGTAGTGGTCAAACCCCAGACGTGGGCCCTTCAGGAGGGGAAAGCAGTTGGAGGGCCCCTTGACGACCACTGCTATGAGTCCATCGGGACAGAGGAGTGTGATCCAGCCTACGAGAACATGGAAGGTGGAGGAGCCTGGAAGCGAGAGAGGCCCCCCAACACGTGTGCCACCCTGCGGCCGAGGAGGAAGAAAGCCCAGCAGCCCTTGCAGCAGCAACAGCCCCCTCCACCGCCGCCGACACAGCAGACCCCCAAGTTACAGCACCTGCCTGCCAAAGCCCTGCTGCTGCCGGGGGAGAACCTGTACGAGAGCATCGGTGACCTGAAGCAGGGCTCCGCCACCTCCAGCACCACCACCATCTTCACTTTCAACGACGGCATGGAGATGTATGTAACAGGGCTCTGAGGCGGCGGCTGCACTGTGACCCCTATCCTTCCAACACAAGGAGCTGAGCCAACACCATGAGGAGTGACGGCTGAGCCCCTGTCATGCTCACCCACACATACTGTTTACATTCAAGTCATAACATCATGCCTTTCACAGGCTCTGGAGGCCTTGGGGCAAAAATGTTGATCTGTTATGACCTGGGCTGAATACAAAGTCCAATCTATAAACCTTATAAGGAATCCAAAGGTAGAGAATAATAAATGAGCACAAGACCATTGCAGAGCAATCTGTACAGTAGGTAACAGTAGCACTTCTATTTTACTGATACATATGTGCAAAGCACAATAAAGTAAAAAGCCTAAATTCTTCCTTAATTTTAGCGGGTAAAAATAGTTGTTGACCTGGTCCTAGCAGGACTCCTATTTGGGGAAAAGGCACAGCATTGTGTGGAATCTTTTGGTAGCACTTAGTCTGTCATGAACAGGCCTTCCCTGTAGTTAGTCAAGATGTGATTCAGGACGGAATTTAAATGATATAAAGGAATGAATTACTTAATCAAAAAACTTGAAAGCTCAGGGACCAAGAGAATCAATTATGAGAGTATTATAACAAAAACTGCACACATTTTGCATTCCTCCTAAAAGCTTCGACTAATTTAGACCATCATCGTATTTGAAAATCGACCAGATAGTTCCCTCCGTCTTGTTTTGTTTCATCTTACACGGACTGACCACTGTCTCCACTGCCGTCTGTAAATTAAGTGTTTTACTTTGTTGATCCTGTTTCTGCACTTTGCCTGCTACAAGTTGCATGCTAAAAAAAGTTAAAAAAAAATAAAAAAAATATCAAGCACTGTCATGTGGTACCGCTATATGAATGTTTTTTTTCTATTGTTGTTGGTTGTTTATTTCTTTTTAGTGTGTTGCTTTATTCCTCTGTAGAGCTCAAAGCCAGTTAGATTAAGGATGTCTTTGGCTAGGTAGGACATCCTTTGCCTGTCACACAGAGTACAGGTGAAGCAAGACTTAAGAGAACTGTTCGAGTCCTAAAAGTGGAGACAGTCCACTCACCACCATCACCCCCCCCCCCCCCCTCTGCTCAGTCCTCACTTATATCTGTGGACCGTTCATCTACATAGTCCCTGCCTTGTGGTCATAATGAATCTGCTTGGGTTTCACCATAGTGCAGCTTGGAAAGCTACAGTAGAACTGATGTGTACTAGCAAACGTCATGTTTCATCATCACTCCATCTCCTCTCTGTTATCAGTGTTAAAAATATTGCAGAAATGACAAAAATGTGAAGCAAATGGTTCGCTAAGCAGCAGAGTATCACCCCGAGGATAACACGCTCAAAATTACATCCACAATCCGGGACAGTAATGATGATTTCATTTGACCAAATATCCCCAGCAAACAATGTGATTATACTGTATGTTGATGCAATGTGTATGTACATTACAAAAGAGAAAGAATAATAAATATATCATCAGTGTCAAGAAATCTATCTTTTTCTATTATGTTTAATTGTGTTTTGGAATGACTTATCTTGTGACACAAACTGCAAAAACAGCTGCAATGTAAATCTTCAGTGTATTCTGTTTGTTGTTTTTGAAGCCATGAAGCTACGGTGTGTTCTTGGAAAGCCCAGCTAAGTTAAATGTGGCAGCTACTGTTGTGTGTTTGCTATTCAGACTACAGGGTCTTGTACTCAGAAGCGTGTAATTAAGTGCTAAGTGCAAAAGATTGTAATGTTTTATATCAAGATTACTATTCATGAAATGTCAGTCAAGTTTATACTTTTGTAATAAAGTGGCACTTTAAAGAAAAGATGTTTTATCTCATAGTGTCAGTTATTAAAATTGAGAGAAAGCAGAATTTGCTGAGTGATGCTGATGAAGACCTTTTCTAAGGCCTTAATATCACCAAGAGTTCACTTTGCCATCTACTACAGACGGATCAAGGACTCTTTTTTTGTATTTAATCCCTTTTCTTCTGTTCTCAAAAGCTGCCTGTAGATTCATGTCTTCAGTGCAACCAAAGGAAATCTTAACATACCTGTGCACTTGTATTGTTAGGGTCAAATTATTTAAAAAATGTGTAATATTTTCATGTTTTATCTTACATCTAAAGCTTGCTTCTTCTACTGTCCCTTGCTTCTTTTGTGTACAATCTTACAACCTCATTCCACATGGAGTATGAGTGTGTACGTGCGTGTGTGTGCCTGAGTAGCCTTCCCATGTTTTTTTTATCTGTGTGAATGTCTGTGTGCACGTGCACATGTGCCTGAGTAGCGGGGTCCGAGTCTGAGTAGCTGTGTGTGTGTGTGTGTGTGTGTGTGTGTGTGTGGGTGGGGGGGGAGAAAAAAAAAATAGGTCACCCCCTTAAAACAAAAAGCTTGCAGTCAACATCGCAACCGTCTGCTGAATTTTCATTGGTGGGCTAGTCTCCATGGTAACAGGTTAACCTTGAGGCAGTAGTCACATGGGCGAGCGAGTCTTCTGCTGTCTTGGAGAATACAGCGTGCGTCGTATGACATCCGTGATCACAGTGTCACACGCTTGGTGAGGAGCTATTGCACAAAAAAAAAAATAAAACACACAACCCCTGAAACAAACGTGCAGGAGATGCTGTAGGTGTGAAGATGATCCAACATTCACAGCTTATGTGATGTGTTAACCTCACTGTGAGGAGTATGAATGGCTGAATAAACACATGAATGAGACTGCCAGATTCATTGAAGGTACATGACGGTGAAAAGACACAGGATAATACCGAGCATAAGGTCACAAACTGGCTGGGGAATCATATTTTTATCAAGTGGTGTCTCATAACAAGGAGCACGAGGTGGGTTCATGTTTGTAGTAAACAGTGTGAACACAACAGGGAGGGAAAAGTAGGAGGCTCGAGGTTTTTTATTGCTCATTTTGTAAACCCTGAAATCACATAAATATCATTATCTTGCATGTTTATAACTGAGCATTAACATGCTACATTCTGCACAAGATCAAATCAGTAAAATCATGAACCACAAGGATGTTTTCATTAATGCAAAACTATCTTTTGTGATGTCAAATCTCAACATATTTTAAGTTGTATGATGAAAGTGATTCAGAGTCTGTATGCATTCTTCTGTAGTGTAAGGAGATCTCAAAGGGACACACTATAAATCACAGTGTGAGAAGCTAAATGTGAGCTATACTGACCCCGGCAGGCATTAAGGTGCATCACAGGGAGGGCCGGGCGGCCTGTATCTGAACCCTGAGAATCAGAGGACCATGGAAAATATTCACAAGTGAGCATGTGACCGTGGGTGACATCGCACTTATGATCTGAGCCACATCTGGTCGATCAGTCCAGACACATAATGAAAACATGTCCATTTCCAGCAGAAATAGAAAGAGGCAGTGAGAACTTAAAATCTCCAAGATGATGAATACCCTGAATTTAAGATTTATTATATACTAAGCATTTTACACCTACTGTGAATGTGTAAACATACAAGATTTCGGTTCACTTGAATAGTTCCCCTTTGCGATATACAGTATGTGAAATTATATACACTTTCTACTACTACCCTACTAGATGTGAGTTTTCTCACATACCATATATAAAAATGTCTTACTAGAGAAGCGTAAAGTGTAAATAAATTTATATCAGAGCATATTGTTGAGCAAGTTGCACCAGCTGTTCATAAATTCAAAATTAGCCTAGTTATAATTAGCCCCAATTTGTGCCTCTCATGTATGAGCATTACATTTGAGTCACAGGGATATTGGTTGGATTTTCTTGTCTTGAAGGTATTTCCAGACACTTAACAATGTAATTTCCAGCTACCCAGAGAGTAAAAACACACAACTTGAGAAACAGGTTAAAAAAATTTTTTTTTGCAGAGCACATATAATATATAGTCTACGATTCTGGAAATACTGCCAGATTATTCAAAGATCGCCAGGTATTTGATTTTTAGAAAATCTGCTGCTACCTCTGTGATTCGACTGTAATGCTAATACACAAGAGGCACAAACTGTAGCTAAATTAACGTTTACTAAGTGGAGATTTATCAGTTACTAAATTAAAATGGGTTGCACCATTTGTTACGTATAGATTAGTTACTACATAGTTACACCTACTTACTGCCAGGTGAACTGTAGCATAGCTAACTGAACCAACTGACAAAACTAAAATTAGGTTGCTAATATGAGCCATTCAGATGAGGAATAAAAAAGTTAATAGGTTTTGGACAACACGTCTGACCTGACACTTATTCAAAATGTTGTTTAATAATAATGGACACTAGATTTTAACATATGTTTCACAAAAATAACGGAGTATACCCTTAAAAAACAAAATATTGCGCTAATAAGGTCAGTTGGGTTTGCGTAATCGAAAATTTACCACTCTAAGCTCCATAAATACTACTAACTCTGAAACACATATTTCTCCATATTTGCAGATATATATAAAACAATATCATACCTACATTTACAAATGATTGAATGTTAATAGATGGATTTCCCCCCTAAAAGTTATTATAGTTATCTTTTTAGCGTTATTCTGCGGATGGCAATTTTGGTCTATCAGTTGTTTATCCACCATTTTGGTCCAGACTTAAATATCTCTTATATCTATATCTATATTATATCTCAACAATTAGTGGATGCGCTGCCATTAAAATGTTGTAAATATCTATGGTGCTCAGAGGATGAATTCTAATGACTACTGGTTCAGTTTTAATGGTGCAACCCATTGTAGTTTGGCACTAGTAACTTCACGAACAGCTGACACAATCCTGGATCAAATCATTTAGTATATAATAATATTGTTATTGCATTATTGTACCTCAAAGGTTATGGCACTGTTTCACCTCTGTGACACATCTGTATGAAAACATTAAAGATGAACATACTCAGTTGTAAATAGAACAAAATTTCCCTCATCCTTACAACTTGACCCAGACTCATCTGTTGTATAAGAGTATAAAGGTTCATGTACAGTACACAAAAAAATTGTAGTTTAGTTTTTTTTAGTTTTCACAAAGTGTTTGTATTTTCTTTCACAGAGGCTCACAGATGTGTGTGTCAGTATGACGGCTCCTCCGGATCCTCATCACTCCAGGTGTCGGACCCATCTGTCCCAAAGTACCGGTCCCCAAAGTCACCTGAAAACAAACAACAACAAAATATCAGTGGGTTATGGGCTGAAGGAAATCATGAAAAAACACAGCATGAATACACAGTAAAACTAAATGGCTGCAAAGGTTGGAAGATTTGGAAAAAAGACTGATGGTTTTCTAAAATTATGTTTTATGATTGAGTCACAAATAGCGATTAATTAATGGGTCGAACATAAAAACACTGAAGATGCATTTTACTATATAAAAGTAGTGTTAATTTATGTAATTAATTATATTTACAGACAAGAGACTTTTCTATCTAATATGAATACTGTGTAGTTTAGTTACAGTGGTGATCGAGAGCAGTGCTTGAAGTGACACAAGCATAAAATTAGAATCTGCTGGGACATGAAATGAAATCTACCAACTTGAAAGGGAAATGTTTATCTTTTAACTTCTGCAAAGACCATGGACATTTCTATTCCCTGTGGAATCTAAAATCATGCACCCATAACTATGGACTTTGAAAACATCATCTGAAATGCTGTAAAGTTATCATTTTTGTACATCATCATTCAAGCTCTTCTCTGAGACACTCAAAACGGACAAATAACTTTGGACAGATGCCTTCTGATTTTACATTACAGTTACAGAAAGAGGGGTATGTGCATGTGATTTCTTACCAATACCAGGAATTACATGTAATAAATCGTCCAGACTCTTGTCCACAGCTGTGGTGATAATTTTGACCTTCGGGAAGGCGTAGGCCACAGACTGCACCCCAAGCTCTGCCATCAACAGCGACACCAAGACAATTTTATCCTCCTGCACCTCGTGATCCTGCTCAGCCACACACAACACAGCAACAGTCAATGCATGATCATCATCAGAAGGATAATTAGTAAGTTGAAAGAAAAGAAAATATATGATATTTCTCTTCCCAGAAATGATGCTAATCAAGCCTCACAGGGACGAAAAAAAAACTTCCAATCAATAACACACATAAGACATAAAACACGCAACTGACCAAGAGGAGGGGTTCCTATCTTACATCTTACTGAAGAGTAATGATGTTAATCTTCACCCACCAATAGGACTCGTACTGCCATCATGGCAGCAGCGCCAGTGGAGACTGTGCTGTCCATTAGGATGACATGATCTTCACTGATGTCTTTGGGCAGGCGCAGGTAATGCAGCTGGTGAGGCCAGAGAGGAGGAGACAGGTTACCATGGTTACAAACGCAGGAAGGGTAGTTACCACGGAGACACACATCATGTGGAAGAAGGAGAAAAAAAAAGAAAAACACAATCAAAACATTGTCATCTTTTGTTTGATGAGATTTCTGAGACACCATCTAATATTATGTCAGGTCTCAGAAAATGTAGCACAGGCATCTCAAAGACGTTGATGGGAATGGCATTTTTTTTACTAAATGACAAATTTTTTCTACCTCTGGTTCGCCTGAGTCAAGGTTGGTCTGGATGAGGATCTTGCCGATGCGGACGTCCTTGCACACGGCCCTCAGCGCAGGCTCCATGGTCTCTCCTGCCCGCAGGACCGACACACCAGTGATCTGTGGAGACAAGGCAGTGGAGCAAGTGTGATGACAGAAACCCTGCGGACACACTTGACTGGAAGTTAACAAGATCTTGTAAAAGAAGAGCATCACTCACCCCTTTCCCGTTGTAACTGCGGCCCTCATACTCTTGGCCCTGTGGAGTCTGAACTACGCACGGCTGTTAGAAGATACAGAAGAGAAAAAAAACCTCCCATAGATGCAGATACAAGAAAAGTGCTAATATATTGTTTTAGTATGTATGTATATATAGGACTTTGTCTTGTGAATGTATGAGGCATTTCATAATACACTATATACGTAATGTATTGCTGCAACAAAATTCAGTTTGTTTGCTTTGGCAACTTCACCAAAAATGACATAGACTTTACTTTGATACCGACAATTTTCCAAAGAATTTTTATTTGATACCTTCTAGGAATCCACTGGTTTTGGTTGATGTCAGTATGGTATTAAAATCAACTTGCAGAGACTTGAACTTCACTTGAGACACCCCAGGCAATCCATCACAGTGTGCATTCAGTCAGCATTTTTTTTCCAGGTACATTGTTGAGAGCTGTTTTAAAAACTCTTTCCTGTTGGTACATTCAAACTATGACAACTGATGACTAAATACTTGAGAAACAATAAGCAAACATTGATATAGGGAAAAAGATAACTTGAAGAAGTAGTGAAGTTGTTTGACGGTTGGCACCAAAGGTTTTCAAAAAAGTTCCTGTTTTCAGCTTCATAACCATTAAACAATAATTATAATAAGTTGTGTGATTATTGTTTGTAATGATTATAATTATCAATTACTAGTTATTATCATTTTCAAACTATATCGGCAGAAACTAAAACTGAAAGCTGCCTGGAAAATATAGAAGCATATAAATATTCAAAAAACATACTTGGCATGTAAAGCAGGCAATGAAAAAGTAAAACATAAATTATTTCTATATAAAAGGTAGTTTATTTTAAAGAATTGAGACTACTATCCACCTGTTGGGGCAATATATTTCAAATAGCTTTTTCTCTGAAAACAGTTTCCTGCTTGATGACAGTGAAAGTAAAGCAGGCTAAAACCAAAACAGCACACTAAAAGATGCAAGGGGAACTGCAGATTTGGTAATAATTCTCTGTGGGTTCGTCAATGCGAGCAACCCCTTCCACATAAAGGTAGTCATGTGATCCACTATTGATTCGAACATCGATTATATCCAGTTAAATATTCACTAAGTAGGTAAAGTTTACCCACCTGAGACGGTAGAAACGTTAGTGCGTGTTCTATGAGAAGCCGCATTAATCTCTTAGAGTAGAAGATAAACTCATCTCGGCTGGTTTCTTTATTCCTGCATTGCAGAAAAAGAAAAAGGTTTTAAAACTCACTCTCACAATGTTACAAGGACTCAAAGTCATACTGGAGCACAGGTCTATACCTAATGATGGTGTGCAGGCCTTTGACCTGCGGCGTACTCTCCAACACACTGAGCGTCTGGGGCAGCGGCTGAGTCTGCTGAGCAGAGGCGAGGAGCGCCCTGAGAGCAAGTAAAGGTTGTTCAGATCAAAAGGTTTCTCTGTGCTATTCTGCTACACTAAGGAGAAATGAAGCAGTCTGGCCTTAAGACGGCAGAGAGTTATCATTAAGACCTAGTCACTAAACACAGAAGGACAGAAACAGAGAGAGAGAGAGTAAAGGGTCAGACTATACACAGCACTGATACAAAATCTCTAATAACAGTAACTGGACCAAAGCTAGTGAAGGTAAAGTCAAAACACATATCAGCGTACCTGACACTGAGCTCACGCTGCATTAAGAGAGGATTAAGAGAAAGACAATAAAATGAGGTAAAAAAGCAGATACTGAGAAGACTTCCCCAAACTGTCACTCAGTTTGGCTCACTGATGTGTGGGGGCAGGTTCTGATAGCCGGTTCTAATTTGGACCTGGTTCCAAGAAGGTAAGAAGCAAAAAAAAATCCCTTATTGAATCTTTCATTAATAATCTTTCTAAGATAGTTTGCCTCTTTCCGACACTACAGGCTTCTGCTAAGATAAAAAAAGGTCACATATACAAACATGTGCCACACAGGTGTTAACAAAACTGACTGACGGACTGCCTTAGCTGACTCGCTCGAACGTACAGATACACTTTAAAGTCAATGAAACAACTGCAAAATGCAATATCTGCAGGACGATACAGCAATGAGGAGAACGTCCCTGCTTCAATATTTATCTACCGTCCACCATATTAAAGTAACTAGATTGCAAGTGCCTTCATCATGTCAAGTGTTAATTGTTAAAACATTTTTGCTATTTTTTTATTAACTTGAGAAGGACAAGTGGTCTGCTTCAACTTGCTGCCAGTGTTACATTGTATTCTGTGTACTGTCAGATTCTTTGACCTGTAGCAGTGCAAAAACCTTTTTTACCTTCAGGTAACGTTAAGTGCATCAGGCATGCAGAAAAAACTAAATAAATAAATTAATGTCCGAGCATTGATAGAATATGTGGTGAAAGCCCTACACCCTTTTAGTATGGTGCAGCACTCTTCTACCTAAACTCCATAATACGAGCTTACGTTCCTTCTTGGCCACTACGCTCCTCCAACGAACGCCGTCTAGCTCTGCCATCCCTACACACAAAGCAATCTCAGTCCCTCTTCTCGTCTGTGATACCACGATGGTGGAACGTGCTACCACATGCCATCAGAGCAGGCGCGTCCCTCTCTAACTTCAAGAAGCTCTTGAAAACTCATCTCCTCCGAGAACACTTTCTATTATAACACCTCTAACTCCTAACCTCTAACATGCACTTCCTGTGCTCTTCTTCTTCTATCCCCTTACAATTATCTTGTATTATAGCACTTTTTTTGTTAACTCTTACTTCTTTCCCTAGGTATTTACCCCATTGATGCCATGCGTGCTATTAGCTGTTACTAGTATTTATTTATGCTCTTATTAGTATGTATTGTCTGTTGTAGATCTTGTGCGGTACTGATGGTTTGTTGATGCTTGTATGTTGTTACTCAAATGTAAGTCGCTGTGGATAAAAGCGTCTGCCAAATGAGTAAATGTAATGTAATGTGATACTGAGTTAAATAAAAACAGAACATTAGTGTCTCCATTCTCCATCAAAAAAACAACCTATAATGATTCGATAAGGGATTCAAAAGGATTCAAATTTGATAAAATGCCATTGAACCCCATTCCTACTCAGGTATTCAACAATGGAGCTCTACCGCACAGAGAAATTAGCTTTGGCTAAATAGAGAATTTCATTATTGTGATTTGCTGACAATAAGAAGAATATAGACAAGCACCTGACTTATCCTTTAGCTCTGCTTTCCAAAGTGAGATGAATAAAAGTCTGAAAGTTTGTGATTTGAGAAGTTCTGATTTAATTTAAGCTTGAAGCAAGTTATTGTACAAGCAGAGGGTCTCTCTTTCGGCCTGTATGATACAGCTTTCAGACACATGGTGGCGCCACTCTCTTATGTACAGTCAGTCTTTTGACTACTCACCTCCTCGAGTTGGCTGTGAACATGTTGGACTATCAGATCAATGGCCACCATATTCCCCCCACCTTGGAAGAACAAAACAAGAGACCAGTGCAGCTGGAGATGTTGTTCTCTGTAGCACAGTCAACAATATGTCAAAATGTTGGAGATGAAGCTGTTTAGTAATGATGTGATCTGGCTGTCTCACCTCTTGGCACAACAATATCAGCCAGTCTCATGGTTGGCTCAATGTACTGCTCAAATGCTGGCTTCACAAACTTGTTGTATTGCTTGATGACACCTTCAATGTCCCGCCCGCGCTCTGTAATGTCCCTGCGGAGCCGGCGGACCAGCCGAATGTCTGAGTCTGTGTCCACAAAGATTTTCATATCCAGGAGCTGCAGGTGGGAAATGCAAACACCCCTGAACGGTTCAATTATATTCACTTCAGCAAAGCAGCTGCTCAAACAGAACCTGGTGATGACTGCTTTACTTCACTCAAGAATTCTTCAAAAAGAAAAAGAAAGAAAACATATTTCTTTACCTGAAGGAGCTCTTTGTCTGCAAAAGACATAATTCCTTCAAATATGATTACACTGGCCCCATACACATTTTTCTGCATAAAGGGAGAGAGAAAACCAAGACTCTTCAAAGCAGAAAACTTCTTCATGAACAGTCAGTTCAACTTTTGTAAGATTAAATTTGCAGAATGTTACTTTGAGTATTTTTTGTTTTGAAATAACAATATTTTATTTAAGTCTATAATATATTTTCAGCTTTAAAAAACTGCAACTGCTTCCTTAGTGTCTTCTACTTTCTTCTTTCCAAAATTACAGGATGCATATTTAATCTTTCTGTAGAAACTCAACAACTTGCCTGTAATAAAACACAGACTATAAAGCATGGACATAGTGTCCATGACGTCACCCACAGGCTTCTGAAGAGCCGTAGTGAAGCTCAATATGCTTGCCTCTCGGGCGGCTCTGGCCTTTGCCATCTTGGCAGAGCCTGCTTTGGTTAATCCAAAATTGGGCAAAGAGGTGGAGCTGAGTTGGGCTGAAGGAAGCCTGGTTGCTGAACCACCTAGTGGCTACTGACCTGAGAGAGCACCCACCTGTCACTCAAAGTGGCCACACCCTGCAAAACTTTAAGCCTTTAATATGATTCAAACAGCTAAGTCATCTGAAATTTCACAGATGTCTTGAACAGGAAAATTTGCTACAGAGACCAAAATAGTTTTTTGTACCAGGCTGTAAACATGTTTATTTCTGCTATAATGTTGGACATTTTAACATGTGGGTCTGTGGAGATTAACTCACTTTTGAAGCCAACCTCAAGTGGCCATTTGATGAGTGGCTTAATTTTTCCACCACAGAGGTTGCTGCTTGGGTAAAACACAACTCACCCAGTCTTTCTGTCGTCCGTGTGTGGTGAAATCGTACACTGGGATCTTCACACTCTTGCCCTGCTTCAACTTTCGCAGGGTGGCAACCAGCAGCTGAAAGTCAAATGCCCCCGGATGATCAAAGTTGTAGTCGTTACTTGCTGCCAAAGCCTGCTCCTCAGGAGATAAAACCTGTGAAACACAGATTAACATTCACAGCATGTCACTCATAAAGCATGTTTGAAGAATTTAAAGGACTGTTTTGACGTTTTGGTATAGCATGCTTATTTAGTTTGTTGCAGAGTTAGATGAGAATATTCAGAACATTCTCACGTCTGAACACAAAATATGAAGCTAAAGGTGGGAGTTTAAGCTTAGCTTAGCACAAAGACTTTAAACATGGGGAAATAGCTAGCCTGGCTCTGTCCAGCGCATGCCATCGAACTGTTAAGTACTCAGGATGATCAGTTTTTTATATAACATTAGTAGGTCATCTTGTTTTAATTATGGATGACTGATCAGGATGACAATGGCTGGATGTATTCTAGATTTTATGTTGTAATGTCACTGTGCATAATGTGAGCAGACATTTAAATATGTTGTTAAATATTTTGTCATATGTTTTAATGTTTTATGTTCAAATCGTGTTCTGTGTTATCCCTCGGGGACAATAAAGTTAAACCGAGGCTTTTATGTCCTGTCATATCATTAGATCATAAACAGTTAGGGAGACAAATCTCAAACAAACTTTACTGTGGTTTCTTGCGATGGTTCTCAAATGTTTTCAAGGACCCATAAAGTGACACAATATAGACCACAGACACCCATTTATATTATCTCTGATAGGATTACAGAAAGTGTAAGAAACCCATGACCAAAATAGTCATACAGTCATTGTGTTACATATGGATGGGATTATAGTCAAAATAAGTTATTCCACTTTTTGCTGAGGACCACCTCGAACACTTTTCACACTTGAAAACCACTGGTTCATTGGACAAGATACAGTATTAAAGAATAGTGTGATAAGCTCTTCCCCCTTTCAGGTGTGTGCATAATGAAAGTCAATATAACATGATTATTTTAAAGTTATTATTAAGTGAAAGTACTACGTGTTGTTTGTCTGCGTTACCCCCTTACACCTATCTGTAATCACGTAGCAAGTTTTCCATTGATATCCTTTGTGTACAAAATATGCAAACTGTAATTTGCGGGCTGCAATCTGAAGCGTCACCACCAAGAGGTTATTAAATCCAAACTGTGACAGCCATATAGTGACAACCAAATAAAATTAGACTAAGACTGTGTGACTCTCTCACCTTGTAGAAAGAATCCATAGACAACAGCACAACCCACGGCACATCCAGAGCCTCAATGATCTTATTGGCCACGGTGGTCTTCCCTGAGGCGCTTCCCCCACACAACCCTGCAGATCCACACAGCATTTCAATGGCCCATTATGTGTGTTTTTCAGAGTGTGTCTAATGTTGTCTAGTGGTATGCATGTGCGATAGCAGCAAAGTGTTTTATGGGTATAATAAGACAGAACTGGACAAAAAGGACAGGTTCTGCAGCTCAAAACCACAATTTTGCACCAAGGAAGTGAATTAAGAGAAAAGACGGGGGGAGTAAAAAACATCATCTGCGAGTGTCATACCAATGACAAAGGCCTCTTTTGACTGCGCTCCGTGCTCGTCATACCAGGGAGGTCGGCCGGCGGTGTAGATGGTGCGTGTGCCTGTGCGGAGCAGAGGAGGTTCAGTTTTACTCAGTGAGGTAGTGCTCTTCCGGCGAGGGGCTCCGGTAGGGGGCAGGAGCCGGTCCAACGAGTCCTCCCCGCTCCCACTGCAAAACAGCAGACATAGCAGGGCAAGTTACAGCATGAACACAAAGGTTCATTGCCAGGTGTACATTGCAATCTGTGTGGCGAAGACAATGTAAAAGAGATGCCTTACTTTCATTTTAACAACACAACTGTAAGTGCTTTTTGTAACCTACCAATTTTAGTTTGATAACACATATGCTACTTACATATTTTGTACATGAAATACAGGTGTTAGAGGCTACAACACATTTAGAGTACAAACCACAGACTGTATAAAAACCCATTTAAAAAACATTTAGTATGTTGGCCATGAGTTTTGAGAATTTGATCTGAAATCAAGGTTCACTTACAAGCTCTTTTCAGAGCTTTTAAACATCTCTCACAGTTTTCATTAGCCGAAGGATGTCTCAGCCATCCAGGTCATAGTTATCCAAAGAAGGTTAAAGTCAAGGGCAACTGGATTGGAAGATTAAAGTCCAGTTGCCCTTGACTTTAACCTTCTTTGGGTTTGCCGATGGAGCTTCGTCGGTACTGCACTGAGCAAATCCACCGATGAAGGCCATAAGATCATTTTTTTAAACAAACTTTATTGAAATTCCAAAAAGATAACAGAGAACAAGTGGCATGTTGAGCTTTGATTCAGATTTTAAATACAAATAAATGTAGTGGCGTACAAATTAGAGCTTAAACGATTAGTTGAAATGACTTTTACTGTTGATTAACTGTAAGTAATTTTTCAAGCAAACATTTTCCAGTTCCAACAACTGAATTGTGAGTAGTTGTTGCTTTCTTCATCTTATGGGATAGTTGGTCGAACAAAACAAGCAATCTGATGGATTGTTTCCAATATTTTCTCACATTTTTTAGATCAAACTATTCATTTATAAATAATATGCACATTTATAAATAATAAAAATAATCATTAGTTGCTGGAAAAGTAATTTTTTAAAGTTAAGTTAAAGTTTTAAGTTAAAAAAAATAGGTCCTCACGTCTTCCTAAAACTGACATATTACATCGTTATTAATTTTTTAGAAGTAGAGGATGATGGGTAGGCGAAGCAGGAGCCATGAATCAAGCTTCTAGATAAGAGTGGCAAAAGCATTTGAGTATGTTGTATAAAATCAGCATGACAGGGGTCATAATCATGTAAGAACAAGTACACAAGAAAACATATGATTCTTATATTTTAAATATGTGTTTATATACCGGAAGGAAGTACATTTAAGCAAAAAATAGATGTATTTAAAATAAAGACATGTAACATATTTCTGGAGAGATGCATTTTCAAATTGGCCAAAAACAAGTACTTAACTGTAAATCTGACTTACTTCATGACACTTTATACTTCTCCTACGCTACTACATTTCAGAAGGAAATTATGTACTTCTTACTCCACTATAGTTATGTGACAGCTGTTATTTTACAAATTAAGATTTTACATACAAAACATAAGAACTTTTAAAATATGATGCATTTAAAAAAAACCAATATTGTTTAAACAATTTGTCAATAATCAAACAATTAATCAAAGACTGTCTTGATAACTGATATATTATTTAGCAAAAACGCCAAACATTTAGCGGTTTCAGCATCTCTCAATCGTAACGATTTGCAGTTTTTCGTCATCCTAAATTACAGAAAACTGATTAACTTGAGTTTTGGACTGTTGATTGGACAAAAGGCGACATGAAGGTGTAACTTTGAGCTGTGAGTAATTGTGACAGGCATTTCTCACTATTTTCTTACATTTAACAGCAAACAAGAAAATGATTGATCAAGAAAATAATCAGAAGATTAAACGATAATGAATATGATAATTCGTTGAAGCCGTATACTAAAAAAATTTAAAATTGGCTCCACCACAACCAACTACAAAAGCAAAATACTCTTTCACTTAGGTAAAGTATCTGAATACTTCCTCCAATACTGCCTAGATTGTGTTAATGCTACTGTTTGATTCTCTGACCGACTCATCACATCTTAGATCACTGTAATTAAGATTAGGCTCTCACTATGGAACACTTGAAGGTCAGCTTAGCTTTTGCGTCACACTCTTTGATCCCATTGGCAGTAATTAGAAATCAAATGAGTAATTGAGTTTGTTTCTTATGTAATGCACAGCTACATGCACACAAACTGTAAAGAAGAGAGGACTCATTAATGTTTCGCATATTCAACCGATGCGGTTTCAAATGTTTGTTCAGTAATGACACTCCACAGGCAAACCGCTGAGACAGAGTACAAATATAACACACCAAAATCCCTGCAAACTAACCCAGATCCCCACACTTACTCTGACCTCTCAACAACCCCTGTTTAGAGACTATTTATAGCTCATACACACATCCATGGTGTCTTTGAGAGCTTTGTGAGGGAGAAAACTTACATCCTGCCGGGAACTGAAAGAAAGAAAACCACACAAACAGTCAGATCATACCTGCGGTCAGACCTCAGGGACCAACAGCCGGAGATTCTGGCTCCTGTGCAGTCCAGCAGAGTCATATCTGCTTCAGACGATAACCTGCTGCCCTCCAGCTCCCCAAAACAATAGGCCCTCAACAGAGCAACACGGGGCGAATTCGTAAAGGTGTGTAACTTACAGATCTGTTTCTAGTCTGCTTTTACTTAACCCATTCACACAAATGTATCTGTGCAGAACTCTCCATGCTACTGTCCATGTGTCCTCCTTTCTCTGTGTGTCTGTGTGACAGACACTAAGAGGATCACAGTAGCACTGGCAGCAAAGAGCTGTGTGGCTGGTATTAATAGAGGCACCTAAAGCAGGACGGGAGGGACATCTTCTGCTGATCCTTCCTCTTGGTTCACTGATCTGATCCACAGAAACACTACAGGGGCAGCCACACTGAAATATATCTTTTAGGACATAATAGGACATGTATGTGGGAAAATAGTGAAATATGTCCATCACAGTTTTCCAGAGCACAAGATGAAGTCTTCAAAGGCCTTGTTTAGTCTGACTAACAGTCCACAACTCAAATATATTCAGATTACAATGATATACAACAAGGAAAAGCTGGAAGCAATTAATAATTTCAACAACACTAAAAGCATAGTCTTTTTCTGGTCATTAGAGCTTTTACCAGCATGGCCCTCATACAACACTTTACTTTACTATACTTTATTTGTCTTCTATTCAAGCAAATCAAGTTATTTATTTATATAGCACCAAAACACACATTTCCTCATATGGGTGTCTGTGTCCTTACACCCTTGGTTCAGATGAGGTAAAACATCCTGTCTTATGCATAAGACAGGAATAACAACAAGGGTGTCACTTTGTGTTGAAAAGTGGCGGGGACATAGGGCCTCAGATTAGGGGTGTGAAGAGACACTTAGCTCGCGAGACATCACGATACGTGATAATAGGTTCACGAGACCAATTCAAAAAGATCCTTAAACAGTGTTTTAAAGATATGAATGCCGCGATATATGAGCTGGGGGACCTCCCCCCTGGAAATTTTAATCATTAAACACTTCATTTCCTGCATTCTGGTGAAAGTTTCTGCACCAATTTATGGTTGAAGTGTTTTTATTTATATAAAAGGAAACACAAAATTCAGGTAGCACATGACATTTCAAAATCTATAAATATAAAAAATATAATGCAGTGCAGCTCACGGCAGTCTGTGTTGCTTTCAGATCTGTTTCTCCTGTAGATCAACTTTTCTCATGTAATATCATCCTTGCTGACCCAACACATATGTAGGCATGATTAAGTCTTTCCTCTTCTTTTGTCATGTTCACAGGGAGAGAACGGAAAACTTGGCCAAAAAGAAACTGTGAGAAGAAGTTGTTAAAGTTAATGATTGGTGCATGCATATTTTTGGGTAATTTTATTATCAGTAGCTTTTTTTTTTTTTTTTTTAGCTATTACTATTTTTGGACAATGCACATATATTTTAATTGCATTGCATGTTTTCTTAAAGCGCAAATAAACCTTTTTAAAGGCATTTTCATTTGTTATTTAACAGCAAGCTATATTTCAGAACGTTTTTTAACAAATGACAAAATCAGCCATTTCAAAAAGTGGTGGGGACATGTCCCCAGTTTAAATGATACCTATGAATAACAATAGTAAAATGACAATACATTTGGAGAAGTAGGCCATTAAGGTAATTTACTTATGTTAAAGTAGCAATACCCCATTATACAAATAGGCTACACCATTACAAGTAAAAGTCCTACAGTAAAAATGTTACTTATGTAAAAGTTAATACAGTACAGTAGTAAATATTGATTTAAGTATTATAAGTACTCATTATGCATTATACAGTTGTGAAAGAAGTTTTCAAATATACCCTATTACTTAAGTAAAGGAGCATTACTACAGTGTAGAAATACTCCTGATAAGTAGAAGTCAAGCTAATTCAAGTATTAGCATCAAAACATACTTAAGTTGCAATAGTAAAAGTACTCATTAGGGAGAATGGTACAATTCAGACTAATAAATATTATTCGACAATAATTACCTACACATTAACTATCAAGTGCAGTACTTATGTACAGTTTTGAACTAGCATAGTTCAAATAAGCTTCATCTGACCGAATACAATATTAAAGTGTAAACACTTACGTAGGCCTACTTTAACTTAAGTCAAAGTCTACCTCCTAATGTTTTTTGTGCAGTATTGCTACTTTTACTTAAGTAAATTTACTTGCCGACACTGCCTATTTGCAGCTGGTCAATATTATGTTTAGAAGAAGATTAAAAGGGTGAAAATGTTTATATAGCCTAGTTTGAGTTCTTGCATTCTTTTAAACAGTCATGGCCTATATTTTTTGAAGGCTCTATCAAAAAACAGAATAATATTGAAAAAACTCCATTGTCACTGTGAGCACCACAAACTAGACAAAGATACATATGCTTAAAAGTGTATGATAAGTATATTTTAGGGATATTCTAGTGGTTTCTCATCGCGCCTGTGACGCACGACTGTGTCAACATGCAGCTCAGCTTCTTCTGAGGAGCTCCGTGTTTCCAACGCATCGGATGAATCCACAGCTACCATCCTTTCACTAGTACAAGTCATTAATACATTCCAACACAGACAGGTTTTAATTCAATAATACTAACATTACAGACGAAACAAGTCAGATATATTTGCTGTTTGGGGGAGAAGATCAGGGGAGTCAGTGTGGTTAGCGTTACATTACAGGATGGACGATGCTACGGACTAAATAAAAATCCCATGAATAATTTCGGTACAGGGAATTAAAACACAGGTAAAAAAAATACTCATAGCGCCATGTACCTGTCTGAGCGGGATGACATTATTTTCCCGCACTCCGTTTCCAGCTGGTTCTTGCGACCTCGGAGCCGGGATCGGCTGGTTAAAGCCATGGATGGATTCTCGCAACCGTGCTGTGGGATTATGGGTAATGTAGTTTATTGTCTCGTGCTTCCTCAGCTTATCTTGTCAAGGCTAATGCAAAGAATCCTGACCTTTAAGTTGCCATTTGTTAAAAACAACAACAACAAAATAAAAACCCACTGAGATGTTTTTTTAATTTATTTCTTTTTTTTCCTGACATTAAAAAAGTTTCAGAGAGAGAGAGAAAGAGGTAGAGACAGTAAGAGAGAAATAGCTAATAATTAATCAAAGAAAATTGACCAAACAGATTGTCATGGAGCTTCTTCATCACAGTTCATAGTCAATCCATAAAGATTATGTCTGTTCATCGTGCAGATGCAGGGAATGAAAAGCTGCCAACTTCCAGTCAACAACACAGTTCTGGATACTGCTTCTTGCTGGCTGCATTTACTCTACAGGTCTGATTCACATTTGAGTTTATTTGAGTAAATATCCCATGATTCCACAGCATCCACGTCTTCAGGCAACCTGGCTATGATATGTTTCCAAAAGAACCTGTGAAAGACAGAAATGCTGATTGAGTGAACAATATTGAATGTTAGTGCTTTCTCAATGACCACATGGTGTAGGCAATGAGAAATGAAGGGATTTGTAGTTGTGTGTAGAGTTCAGATAAATGGGTGTTTTAAGCAATTGAGAAAAACTGTAATATGAAGCTACTGCCATCAGCCGAGACTCCAGAAGTTACTGGTACAGGTCTCAGAAGGTCTTGAGAATGAAGTGGTAAAAAATAAAAACACACAAGCCCTCACCTCTGCTGAGCAGCTGCAGGTTGCGTCCTTCCTCCTGCACCTGAAGCTGCAGCACCTGTTGCAGCAACTCCTGCCGAAGTGTCTCTTGCACCAGTCCCATCCTCTCCAGCTTTTCCCCATTCAGACGCAACAACGCGCGACCTGGAAAGCAGAGAGCTCAAAAATCAATTTTGCCTTTATTTTGGAATTCTTTTATCCACCTTCCATTGTTATGTCTTTGGATGATCTTAGCAGTGTGACCTGTGATGGCGTGGTGGGAGAACACCTCCACGTAGGTTAGGTAGTTGTGTGGACAGTGTTTCTTCAGCCATTTACAAACATCTTGTTGTGACCAGAGCACGACGGGGCGGATCAGGCTTGGCTGTGTTGGGCTTGTGTGATATATCCCATAACTGTCACTGGAACGGTACTGCAGCCAGACAGACAGGAAGACATACAGATAAATACAGAGATGGACATGTAGTTGAGGAAGAATCGAACATTTTGGGAAATGTGCTTATCTGCTCTCCTACTGAGAGTTAGATGAGAAGATAGATACCAATCCCTCGTTGATAGAGCAGTCACTCAAGACTGCAAGACCAGGCAGACCAATCTGTGCACTGCCTGGATTGACTACAAGAAAGCCTACGACTCAATGCCACATACATGGATACTGGAATGCTTGGAAATATACAAGATCAACAGGACATTAATAGCCTTCATCAACAACTCAATGGGGCTGTGGAAAACAAGTCTGGAAGCCAACTCAAAACCAATTGCACAAGTCACCATCAAGTGCGGCATAACCAAGGTGATGCATTATCCCGCTGCTGTTCTGCATAGGCCTGAACCCCCTCAGCCAGATCATCACAAAGACTGGCTACGGATACCGGTTCTGAAGTGGAACAACCATCAGTCACCTCCTCTACATGGATGACATCAAGCTGTTTACCAGAAATGATCGAGACATCGACTCACTGATCCACACTACCAGGATCTACAGCAACGACATTGGAATGTCGTTCGGACTGGACAAGTGTGGTCGCATGGTATCAAAAAGAGGGAAAATGATCAGAACCGAGGGGGCTGAACTACCAGAAGGCCACATTGCAGATGTTCAGGACAGCTACAAATACCTTGGGGTGCCGCAGGCTAACGGAAACCATGAGGTGGCAGCAAGGAAGTCTGCCACAGCCAAATACCTACAGAGAGTAAGGCAGGTCCTGAAAAGTCAGCTGAATAGGAAAAACAAGATCCGAGCCATCAACACATAATAATATAATAATTATAATCTTTATTTGTAGAGCACTTTTCAAAAACAAGTTACAAAGTGCTTTAACAAGTGTAAAGACAATAATACCCAAAAAAAACAATAATACAGAAACAAAACAAGATAAAAGCAAGAAAACATTGAAAAGACTAAAATACACGTTTAAGATAAATATAAAATAAGTAAAACAGAATAAAATAAAAGGGATAAAATAAAGTTAAATAAGATCGGGAAAGGCTCTCCTATAAAAGTATGTTTTAAGAAGGGACTTAAAAGAGTTCACTGACTCAGCTGACCTGATTTCCTCGGGCAGGCTGTTCCAGAGCCTCGGGGCCCTGACAGCAAACGCTCTGTCCCCTTTAGTTTTCAGTCGAGACTCTGGAACAGACAGCAGACCTCTGCCCGAGGATCTCAAGGTACGTGCTGGTGTGTATGGGACTAAAAGGTCAGAAATATAACAAGGCGAGAGGCCATGACGAGCTTTAAAAGTGATCAATAAAATTTTAAAGTCAATTCTCAAACATACTGGGAGCCAGTGTAGTGAAGCTAAAATAGGAGTAATGTGTTCATATTTCTTTGTTCTGGTTAAAAGCCTGGCAGCTGAGTTCTGGACAGTCTGGAGTCAATCAGTAGATTTTTGGGTTAAACAAGTGAAAAGGCTGTTGCAATAATCCAGGCGTGATGAGATGAAGGCGTGTAAAATGGTCTCGGTGTCCTTAAAAGTTAACATAGATCGAATTTTTGCTATATTTCTAAGTTGATAAAAACATGATTGAACAAGCTTTGTGGTGTGCTGCTCGAAATTTAAATTACTATCAAACCAGACACCAAGGTTCTTTTCAACAGGCTTAATGTGATTTACTAGGGAACCAACAGATGGCAGTATTTGTTTTGCCATGAAAACTTCCAGCTGAGGCACAAGGAGGGGCTGGGTTTACCAGCTGATCCACAGTGTTTATGTGTAGTAATGTGTTCAGAAAAATAATGTGTTCTCGCATCCTTAACCATGTTATTGTAGTTAATTAATAAATCCTTCAGACTGAGGTAATGGACTTGGAGACTGGATTATTTCCATCTGCGCTCTGCTTTCCTGTATTCCCTTTTTAGGCTGTGAATGCTGTCATTTATCCAGGGATGCTTACTAGCTTTAGATGTAGGCCTAACCTTTAGAGCAGCAGTAATATTTAGTGACGACAAGCAGATATGATTGAAGTGATCGACCAGATTGTTGGTGTTGGAATCAGACAGGTGTTGGCTTTGGCTCTGAAAGAATGTGCAAAACTTTGAAACACTTTGTTCATTAAAGATGCGAGAACACACAGAGCTTGGTGAGGCAGCATGAGTAACAGGCGAATCACAGCTAAAAACAATACATCTGTGGTCAGATATGGTCATGTCCACTAATTCCACAGAGGAAATGCTGACACCCAGGGTAAAAACCAAGTCCAGTGTATGACCACGGTTTTGACATGTTGTTTGAAGTTAAAAGAAGTGGCCATATTTAAAAAGTCAGTTGCATTAACATTGGTGGGGTCATCAACATGAATATTAAAATCGCCACAAAGAACAATTCTGTCATAATTTAAAACCAGAGTAGATAAAAATTCAGGAAGTTCTCATAAAAATCCTCCAGGCGGTTTTGGGGGGCGATAAATTAGAACAAATATGATAGGTTTAAGAGTGAGAACTTCAAAGGAGTTCAATTCATCACAGCGTACTTGATGACATTTTAAATTTTTCCTATACACGCTCACTAGCCCACCACCACGACCACTGACACTCGGTTGACTAAAACAATCATATTGAGGCGGACACAGTTCAGCTAGCTGGCTATAGTCATTCATTTGCAACCATGATTCAGTTAAAAACATAAAATCTAGATTTGCAGAGAAGATAAAATCATTTAAGATAAAAGTCTTACTTGACAGAGATCTCACATTGAAGAGAGCCATTTTAAATGAGTTTGTTCTGGAGCTGGAGTTGGTGCAGTTGACAGGAATAGAAGTCTGTGGAACAGCGCTGGGAGCAGACGGATTTACATGCCAGCAGGTGGAGACAGTTGTTAGTGGCAGTGAGGCAGAGATCTGTTCAGTGACCGGTGGTGTGTCCAGGTGTGCTGCATGAATGATTAGTCATTCACGTAAGTCATGTGTGTGAGCAGCTAACATTTCTGAGCCCCGTTTGTTTGGGTGAAGTCCGTCTTTCTTAAAAAGAGACATTCTTTGCCAGAAAATATTAAAGTTATCGACATAACACACACGATGAGCCCTGCAGGCGGACTGGAGCCAGTCGTGGAGGCCAAGGAGTCTACTGAAGCAGCCAGCACCGCGACCAACTGTGGGAATGGGACCAGAGATAAGAACGGACTTTCCACACTGCTTTAAAAAGTTAAAAAGACGGTTAAAATCTGATTTTGTCAGCTCAGACTGCTGAAGAGCTGTGTCATTTGTTCGGTTGTGGGGTTCCAGAGCAGGACTGAGCAGAATCTGCTTCAACACTGCGTACGGACTGAGGATGGAGTGTGTGAGCTGCCGAGTGTTATGTTAGAGTAGCAGTAACAGACCTGAGAGTAGGACTACCCAACAGTGCAAGGTAGTGACGGCCTCCGGAGCGTCTGAGCACAGCCTCCTTCAGGATCCTACTTCGGGAAGCGGAGGTTTTTGACTGGGATGACGGCCGCCGATCAGGCCCAGCGGCAGACCAGCAGCCCAGCCGATCACCGTTTGCCGCCAGTGCAGGAGATGTAGTAGGTGGAGGAGATGCAACAGGTTCGGCAGGCACTATCCGCTGAAAGGGATCCATATCAGGGAGACTCGAAGCTGCAGGTGCATCCATTGGATGGACCGGAGTGCCGTCAGACAGGGCTGTATAGCGGTTGGAGAGGCCGATGTACGGAGGAGAGGCAGCCAAGCCTCTCTTGCAGCCACGGACCACCACTTCAGCCCAGGATGACTGATGCTTCGGAGTCGAGCAGGAGGAAAACCTTGGAAGGGTAGAGGGGTCCCATAGCACAGTGTCCTGGATGTTAGCGGTTGTTGCGCTAAGAGTTAGAGAGGGCAGAGTTATCTCCGCTAGCATAGTCACCGCTTTGTTGTGGTCAGTAGCGTTGATGGCGTTTTTACGGTCATCTAGCTTAAAATCCATGTCGGATGACTAAAATCCTTAACCCACGTAAAACTCAAGTTAAAAACTCAAGTTAAATAAAAAGGATATAAAAAATGTAACGAAAAAGTGTGGATTAAAACTGGATAAGAGTCCGGTTTAAGACGGAGCTTCCGACAGGTGGCTACAGACGTCAACGCATGCGAAGAGTACAGATTACATATACCCTGCCAGTCATCAGATACCACGCTGGTATAATAAACTGGCCAAAGGAGGAGATAGAGGCCACTGACATCAACACAAGGAAGCTCCTCACAATGCATGGAGGGTTTCACCCCAAATCCAGCACCCTGAAACTGTACACCAAGCATAGCAAGGGAGGCCGAGGGCTAGTGAGTGTCAAGACCACTGTCCAGGATGAAACAACAAAGATCCAGGAGTACATCAGGAAGATGGCTCCCAAAGATGAAGGATTTAGTGAATACCTCAGGCAGCAGAAACCCGAGGATGAGGACAAGGAAGACGAAGAACCTTCATGGAGAGACAAGCCGCTGCACGACATGTACCACAGATAAATAGACAAAGTGGTTGATATCAGGAAATCCTACCAATGGCTGGAAAAGGCTGGACTGAAGGACAGCACAGAAGCACTAATCATTGTGGCACAAGAACAGGCACTCAGTACAAGATCAATAGAGGCTGGGCTCTACCACACCAGGCAGGACCCCAGGTGCAGTGATAGATGTGGCAATCCCAAATGACAGCAACATCAAGAAGAAGGAACACGAGAAGCTTGAGAAATACCAAGGGCTGAAAGAGGAGCTAGAAAAGATGTGGAAAGAAAGAGCAACAGTGGTGCCAGTGGTAATCGCAGCACTGGGGGCTGTGAACCCCAAACTGGGAGAGTGGCTATAGCAGAATCCAGGTACAACATCAGAGGTCTCTGTCCAGAAGAGTGCAGTCCTAGGAACAGCTAAGATACTGTGCATGTGTGTGTGTATGTATGTGTATGTATGTGTGTATATATATATAACAAATGAAAGGGTGAAGGTCAGCTG